CAATTTCTCGTGTTTAAAATTCAAGAAAAAAGGTATATAAAGTTTAACTATGGGAAAAAATTCTTCAATATGTTGTAGAGGACCCTGGTGCCTGAGTTAGGGGACAAAATGACACTGGCAGGATACACGTTATATTTAGTGGTTTTATATAATCCCAGTAACTGTACTTTTCCGTTTATATCATTAAAAATAATGTTCATCTTTATTACTGTGTAACAAGAAGCAAATCAAAATGTAATTTGAAGAGAAATGCGAGGTGTTTTCCGCTTATGGTGAGGGGTACTTACGGATAACTAGTTCAGTTTTTATTTATCAAATAAGTTAAAAATACATTTGTCGTATTGCTCACTTTTTTCTTGCCAATGATTTTCATTGGGATTTCTCCTAGTTAAGTTTTTGTATGTGCCAGTTACTTGGTGGTGAATTTCACAATTTACTGGAAGACGTCACCTCGATTCAGTACTTTGATTTTAAATAACTGTGGATAAATATATGTTCAGTACATGCAATTTTGGTACAATTTTCTTTGAATAATACGAAAATTTTCATAAATTGATATCTTTTCAAAACCTCTGGTAATGTATGCTGATTTTTTTTGTCTTTGAACATCTGATGGCACAATAATCTTTAATTAAGAATATCTTGAAAAATTTTAAGTAGAGGCTGATTTCTCTTGCTCAACTCCCAAGGTATATAGATAACACCTGCTTGATCAGGGATTCTCTACCAATTGTGTCAAGATGCATGGAACCAATGAAAAGAACGGTCACAGTTGATGGAGATTGAATCATAAGCCTTGTTTTCCTCCATATATGGTTGCAAACAGTGTTTCCAAAGATACACAAAACAAAGAAAATAGTGATAAAATATACAAAATTTAGAAAAACTAATTTGGTTATTATTATAAAGAGGTTTTTAAAAAAAATATATTATGAAATATATCTTCCAAGAATTGTCATAAAAGGGAAATAAGGAATGATTCGTTCAGCTAAAATTAATTTGGAAAGAGAATTTGAAGGTTTCCTTACTTTTTTAAGTAGATTAATTCCATCCTTATAAAATATATATTCTAACAAGAGGCCCACGGGCCTTTTAGGTCACCTGAGTATTGTGTAACAACTTTCAAACAATTAAATTTGGTTCGTGTTTTAAACCAGAGGCCATGAAATTCACAATTCACAATTTTGAAAGAGGCACCATTGCTTATCATAATTATTAACTTAGCATTGCTTACTCTATTTACTTAATACCCAGAGGTAGATCAGAGTAACAAAGAGAAAATGCACTTCCACTTTATACCCAGTTGTGCACCTCACTCCAAAGGAACCACTGACCCAGGGGCCACATATTTCAAAATTTTGCAAATTTTATCATAAAATGGTTGATTAATACCAAAGAACAGATTTCAAAGCATTAATTTATTTTCAGACTATGTAACCCCCCCGCCCCCTCTGACCCAGGGGGCAAAAAAAAACACTTTGCTAGATGCGCCTTTATTCATCATAAATATATATACTTGGATCACTGGCATAAAGAATTAATGTATTTTTAGTATATAATCAACAGAGCCCCGCCCTAACACCAAAACCCCTAACCCTTGGGCCATAAAATTCACAATTTTATAGGAGGCACTCTTGCTCATCATAATGATGTGCTTAGTTAGTTTATTTAATACCCAGAAGCAGAGAAGAAGATTTTCAAAGAATTAATGTACTTAGTATTTTCACTATATAATCAATAGAGCCCCACCCTAACACCAGAACCCCTGACCCTTGGGTCATAAAATTCACAATTTTGGAATAAGCACTCTTGCTCATCATAACGATGTGCTTAGTTAGTTTATCTAATACCCAGAAGCAGAGAAGATTTTCAAAGGATTAATGCATTTTCACTATATGATCAAAAGAGCCCCGCCCTAACACTACAACCCTGACCCTGGGGCCATAAAATTCACAATTTTAGAAGAGGCACTCTTGCTTATCATAACTATGTACTTAGTTAGTTTATTTAATACTCAGAAGCAGAGAAGAAGATTTTCAAAGAATTAATGCATTTTCACTATATAATCAATAGGGCCCCGCCCTAACACCAGAACCCCGACCCTGGGGCCATAAAATTCACAATTTTGGAAAAGGCACTCTTGCTTATCATAACTACATGTATGTTCTTAGTTAGTTTATTTAATACTCAGAAGCAGAGAAGAAGATTTTCAAAGAATTTATGCATTTTCACTATATAATCAATAGAGCCCCGTCCTAACACCAGAACCCCTGACCCTGGGGCCATAAAATTCACAAATCTGGAAAAGGCACTCTTGCTCATCATAACTATTTACTTATTAGTTAGTTTATTTAATACCAGGAGCAGAGAAGAAGATTTTCAAAGAAATAATGCATTTTCACTATATAATCTCTATAGCCCCGCCCTAACACTAGAACCCCGGGCGGACCCTGGGGCCATGAATTTCACAATTTTGGTAGAGGACTCAATGCTCATTACATTCATGCCAACAGTTTGCCTGCTTGATGTCCAGGAGTAAAGAAGAAGATTTTTAAAGATTGCAATAATTTTAGTGGTTTTGGCCCCACCCCTCAGGCCCCCGGGGGGTGGGGACCATGAAATTCAAAATTTTTGTTCCCCTTCACCCATAGATGCTGTATACCAAATTTGGTTGAAATTGGTGCAGTGGTTTCAGAGAAGAAGTTGAAAATGTTCAAATGTTAACACACAACACACGACGCACGACGGACGACAACAGACGAAAACGGATAGCAGTAGGTCACCTGAGTTACTCAGGTGACCTAAAAATGCATGTGTCAAGACACATAGTATAAATAAGAAGATACATGAGGCTAAATAGAAGCATGAGTTTAGATGCATGCATGTGTCAAGATGCATAGTATAAATCGCCCCTTGTAAAATGACATTTGTCAAAGATTACTATAAAATATGTGATGACAAAAGTTTTTTTCTTGATTTAACATTTTTTTAAATAAGGATCAAGTATAGCTGTATCGATACGGCTTTACCAGTACTCTTACATTTTTTGGGGATTGTGAAATGTAATACATATATAAAATCACTTAAAAGTCGCAATGACCTTGAAAAAAGTGGAACACACCTTCTACCCAAGATGCATAAATTGGCAACGTTTAATAGGGTCTAGGTCTTATACTTTTCTAGTTATGAGTCCAACAGGATTTTTTAATATTTGGCCAATGCATCTTAATTGAAGGTCAGAGCGACTTACTTTTAATGCCTGACATACCTTCAACACAGATGTATCAACTGAAAAAGTTTGATAATTCTAGGCCTAAAAGTATTTAAGTTATGGGCTAGACACGAAAAAGCTAACAGGGGGACGGACATGAAGCATATAACATATGTTCAGTCGTTTGACGGGCGCTTAAAAATACAACCATCATTACTTTCAGAAGGCCCATGATGAAATTACCTTTCAACATATTTCGTAAAACAAACTCGAATTTGAATCCTGAATCAAAATCGTTTCACCTTGTGGACATGATAAAATTCATTCATTCAGACATACCTTTGTAGAATAACTTAAAAGAATTTACTTGAATCCACTTTATGTTTTTGTCCATGTTTTATGATATTTTCACTCTTGACAAGGTCACCAGGAAACGAGAGTATTGGCTAATCAGGAATATTGATATTTTAACTGTACAATTCATAAATGCTGTTACACCATTTTTTATTCTTACCATGTCCATGGATTATACGGTCTAGATAATGATCAATACATAGAGCTCCTGAAGGTGTAACCAACAGACAGGGGATGCTTACTCCTCCTAGGCACCTGATCTAAGCTGGAGAACTTCCAGTGTCTGTGTGTCTAGTCCTTATAACAGATCTGTATTGTTTGTCATGTCTTCCAACAAATGTTTATTAAAATACAAAAATCGGTGTTATGTCAATAATCATAATACTAAATTTTCCATTTTAATAAAAATTTGTGGGAGGACAGTAGGCTTGTAATTAGTATTTGTTATCATAAGTTTTTTCACATATAAAACAAATACTCTTTGACATCAATCATGATAGTAGAAACAAAGCAAGGGATTTGAAAAAAAACCTTTATTTTCAACGATATTCATTAACAATAAACAAAGATACCCTTAAGGACTCAAGTTAATGAAATAGTCATCACAACAAAAAGGATAAAAAAAAATCTTATACAGTCCACCTGCTTCAAGTGACAACACTCAAAAAGGCACACATATCATTAGTGAGTGTAAAATTCATTTTACATTAATTTTTCATTGATTCTATGTGATTTATCACCACTCCACTTTTTGATGATCAAGTGGTTACCAAAAGATAAAAAAAAAGAGAAAAATAACGTGCTCGCCTGAATATTAATTAGCTAATTAACTACATGTATCTGCATGTTACGAATGAAAATTAACATGTGCTCACCTGAATATTCATTAACTAATTACATGTACAGCATAACTCATTTTGTACAAACATGGATACAATAGGAATTCACGGATATAACAAAGTTATCTTGGATCCCCAGGTATATAAATTTAATGAATTCCTTAAACGGATATAACGAATTATGGATATAATAAAGTAGTTTCATAGGGCTGAGTGACTTTGTTATAAGCAAGTTTTACTGTTGCTATATGTACATGTATCTACTTATTGAATCCTATCAGGCTATGGGGAAAATTAAGAGACCATGGATATATGAAATACACAATGCATTTAAAAGTGATACAATCATATTTATCATAGGCTTTGTTTTCGAGAATGCAATAAAGATAAAGAATGCCCATGAAGGCAAAAGTGAATGTTTCATGAATTAAATTGGAAGTTATAATGCAATGGTAGCCAAAATGATATTAATACATGTATACTGTTTTCTAAATATATAACTGTGTCACATTAGTTATAAGGATGCAGGTCTTTCAGTGTAGAGTCGATAGGCTGCTGTATTCATTATAAAGATTTAGTTCTTATAGGTTGTTTAAGAAAAGAGGTCAGGAACAGGGATTGGTTATGGACGCATAGAGATATTGATTTAAAAAATTCTGTTTCTTATTTAGGCGAGCTAAAAGTCTAGATGAATATACATTTGAAGCAGATGAATATGAATGTACATATATATTTTTAATATTATTCTTTAAACTGTAAAAAAAATTGTCTAGCTTAGAAATACCAATAGCTATTTTGCAACTAATACGATTTGCTAAAAGTTAGTGATTACAGTATATCATGAGGGAATATTATAGAAACAAACAACAGTGAAAAAAAATAAAAATTTTATTTCATAATTTGTAATATATGGTATACAATCATATTATGTACAATAATTTTGGATTAAAAAAATAATCCAACCCCGAAAGACCGATTGCCACTTAGCAGAGTATTACATGTATTATAATGACATACACAGCTAATGGATAACCCTCTCCTGTAACTTACTCCTGGAATGTTTCTTAATTAAACTATGAACCCAACTTTCAAACAACCTTCAAATGTATACATAGATTGGAATTTATTGTTATGGTGGAATTACATTTAAATATGTAATTGTGGACATAAATACATGTATTGATTATCTATACTAAATTTTTCTACATGTACAAGTTTGTTGTGTTATGTTTAAGGGTAAAATACTTAAAACAAAGTCATTAACACTAATATGATAAAATTCTTGACAATTCATTACAGCTTTAATCAATGGACAATGTGTTTATTTGCTCTACAGTAAGCTTTGTCAGATTTAAGGTAAAACATACATGGGAAAAATCTACAAATTAAATTGATTTAAAATTGACAATAAACCCTGTATACATAATTAAAATCAATTCATACAGTAACAGAACATTACTACTATAACAAAATCCTGCATTAATTCTTTTCAATTAAAATTTGATCAAACAAACGTCGATTGAAACACTTTTCCTTGAGTTCTGATATTCTATGACTACATTACTTTATTCAGATATGTCCATTTTTAATAAAACAAATATTTCATGCTGTATGTTTTCTTTAAATAAAATGATTTTTTTTTCCATGAACAGATTGATTGTCAATTAAAATTATATTTCTACATTAATATTTACATAACTATCATAAAACTATCTCATATGCTGGGAACGGCTATCGTTTAAACTTGATTAAATCTTATATACTACTTTCAGTAGCATAAATATACATGGTATACAATTTTATAATATGTACATGTATATATCAATTATTTTAAATAATTTTCATAACTGTGAAAGCTAAAACATTAAAAACAAAACACAATCAATTTTCTATGCAAAGTTACATTATTTTCTAATTTTTATGGAACAATCTAATTTCAAAATTTTTTACTTTTAAAGAATTGTGACTCTATTTTCTAAGGAAATTTAATGTCAACTAAATAACTGGATGACTAAATTTGCATATTTTTTCATATTGAATGTCTCACAACTATCTTCATGTCAAAGGTTAAAGACTGTTCTGTACCAAGAGGTCAAGGCCACTGAGAGTAAGAGAACAGGCACTGATACACATAGACCCCAGCAACCACACTCCTGGGTCTCCTCCTGAAAAGGTCAACATCACACATCAGTTTATAAAACATATTTCAAGTACATCATCATCAGTTTGTTTCACATACATATCAAGTCAATTTAGTAATTATTGCTCTAAGAAATATGCTTACAAAAATAAGGCATACTGATTGTTCTTAGATAGTGTATTATCTGGTACATACAAACACTACTGGCACATTGTCTGTGTAGCTGCAGTAACTGACACTTATCGTAAGACCCATCTAAATGCAGCCTCTTTACCATTTTCTAAATATATATTTTTCAATTATTTATACAATGCTTACTTTTGAGTTCCTGTCAATACAGTTGGTATGGACCCGTCCTCTACTGGAAATTTCTTGCATCAGCTGACAGGTTTCTGTATCGTTATGTGCAGAATGTCAAGGAAATGTTAAAAAAAATCTTAATTTTCAATGATTTTATTGTGCAAGTTATACTGAATCCCAATGCGTGATATTAACTTTATTAAAAAAATGAGTTTTTTATGAAAAAAGTTTTTAATTTATTTCTTTGTTGGTTAACTTCATATATTTTGTTCAAGAGCAAAACAACCCCTTTAATTCCCAGAGACTTTTAAACTTAATAGAAAAAGTAAACTTATTTGATTCCTGTGAAATTTGCCTATAAGGATATAAATGATAGGAGTGCCTTTCATGGTGGCCACTTCCTTTGTAACCCCGGTACAGTTACAATCCCGGTCCACAGCTACCAGCATCATATTGGTGTTCTTAATCCAGACCACAGCGTAACTCCTAATAATAAGAAGATGAGCTGCTGAATATTCCTCAAGAATACCATACATTTTAACTAAAACAACATCAAATTATGAAGATAAAATATATTGCAACCTTTGACAGGATTTTAGGGTCTGTAAAGGTCCATTCCAAATGACAAAAAAAAGGTGTGAGAAAAAATTTGTATTTGATATTTATTTAGCATTCAAAGTTTGCCATTACCATATTTTTTGTCAACTAAAATTTTTACAGGTAGATCCCTAAAACATACCTGAGAAATCATTAAAGAAAAATAAATAGGTTTCTCCTTTACTCTCACTCTCACCTGTTACAGTTGAAAGGAGAACAACCTCGGATGACACCTTCATGGACAAACCCATCCCCTGCTCTCTTCCGTTTCTTGAACACTTTATAGTTGGCCCGATAACCTCTCTTTGTCATGTGACAAGGCACTAGCTGAATGTCTTGAGGTTTTTTGTGACAATAATACTTTTTAGCGAACTCTTGAAAACTAGGATCCATGCTTTCAAATGTTATATTTGGTCCCAGGAACACACACGTGTTTTCCGCAACAGGAGCAGCTGGATAGAGACAATAAGAGATTTAGACTTTACACCCAATTATCCTGACATTTTTAAGTCTGTATTATGACAAGTTATTTACTTATTAATAATAATTTTGTATGCAAACGATGCAGGATGCTTCAGATAAATCTGGCTTCAGGGAAGTTGGAAGTCTTCCTTTTAATTATCTGGTACATGTACTTATAATTACCTTATTTTTTGATTAACAAATAGTGTTAAGTCTCATAATTACCTGATGCTTTGAATTAACACATGGATTAGTACTTACCTGATGCTTTGAATTAACACATGGATTAGTACTTACCTGATGCTTTTTCAGAGTAGAACCAACCACTCAGTCCAATCTGGGATACAGTCCTGTAAAAGGTAAATTACCTTATCGTTAAATTTTAAATGATCCTCTTACCCCATTTTTAACTTCAAAATGTCACTCTTGCTTGAGAAGCATTAAATTTATACTTTATTTCATTTCTTTGTGAAAGAAAATTTGACACTGTAACTATACATTATCATTATCAATACACTTGCATACAGGCAGATGAATAATATACACTGTATTTTTATACTCACATTATAATTTCCATAAATGACCAAAATAGAATATTCACAAGTTTCTTCAATGGCTGCAAAATTCAAAGTAATACACATTATTAATTAACCTTTCTCTCAGAAATGTGAATTTCAATTAAGTGTATATACACCTGAAACTTATGTAGAGTTTTTTTGCAACTTGTTTAACCCTTTGTGTGCTGAATTGATTTTCAATGAACTGCACTGCAGGACTGAGTTGTTTTGGAGCATTTATAAAATTATAACAATGGTGTCTTTGACTGTTAATATTTTTAGATTCAGGCAATCGATTTGACTCAAACTTTTCAAATATATTCAAGGTATCGAGTACTTTTAATTGATTTCATTTTTTTTTAAGATTAGGCTTATTTTACTGTTGCCATGGTAACATTTTTCTTACTAAAAAGAGAAAAATTAAATTTTTTGTAAGTTATCATAAATTTCTTTATTAAAACACACACCCTGAGTTATTTAAAAACAGTATGACTCAATAAAATTGATAATATTAGAATATAAACAAGTATAAAATTAATGTAAAATAAATGAGAAAAAAATTATATTCAAGTATTTTCATGTATGTTTTAACACTGCAACTCCATAGAAACCTAAAAAACCTATTGCATGTACTGACCTAGAAACATAAAAAAATGAACCATGTACTTACTTTCAAATGTTTTAAAAATACTAAACTGGTTAATGTATAGTAATTTAGATTTTTTGGTCATAATGTAATTTTCTTCATCATAGTTTTCCTTACACTCTGATTGGTAATCTGTGTAGCTCTCCCTTGAAAAAAATGCAGCATTTTAAATCATAACAAGAAGTTACTTTTTCTTTGAATACAAATAAAGAAAGACTGCAATTGTTTGATTTATTCTCCATGAAATAAGTAACATATACATATATTTAACATAGAATTATAATTCTTTTCATGATAAAGGATCAAAACATTACCATTTCCTCACCTAATAAAAACTCCATCTGCAATTAGCCTGGCCATTAACCCCAGATCATTTGATATCATCAAGATAAGTATGAATATCACATAGATTGCACAATAAATTAACAAAAGATCCAATTATGTGACTTCTCAGGTTGAATTCTTTTGTAAAACTAAAAAGCAAGTAGTCTCTCTTGTATGATAAATTCAAAAATGGCTAAACTAGAAAACTGACCAGTTGGCACTGGTTGCACTGGTAGGAGGTTTGCACTCATGGAGGGAGGATTTGACTTGATTACATTTTTTAAAAAATATATGCACACAATATAAGACAACAGTATTTTTAAAATTTCAAAATAATTCCTGAATGTCCAAAAACCTTTAAATAGTTACCTTGTATACTAAAACAGTGAAAACCTCATGTCTATATAAAAACTAAGTTAAATGTGTATTTAAAAAAGATTTAAGCTGTTTTATAAAATATACTTTCAGTGAAATTAATGTAAATATCACCCATTTGACCTCAACTTCAAAAGACATCAGAAAGCAAAGGTGTGTAAATTACACTTCATGTGCAGACCAAGATAAGCTCTCTAAATTTTCTGCAGAAAGCAAGTCTGTGAGTAAGTTTGCTCTCTCTCTCGATGTGTTTTCCTTGTAAAGTGCATATGCATTTGCAATGACATGGTAATTAGGGGAAGATATCTTCTTCCACCTGTTAAAATTAACATCCCCAGCATTAATGCAAAAAAAAAATATAAACAACAGCCCCCATGAATTATTTAAAAAAAAAAATGGACAATAATAAAGGTCTAATCTAAATTTATCTCTTGTTTTTAGAATTGTAATAAAATCATAAATGATTGTGTACAGTATTTTATAAAATACAAGCTTGGCATTCCAGTATTTAAATTCATATTTCAAAGGTACCATCATTCAAAATTGACCTTAACTTCATAACAGACTTCATTTGCAGACAAAGGAGTTAGCATTTCTATGTGTCAGATAAAGATAACTAGAATTTATAACAGTTTTTCATCAAAGGACACACTGCACAGCCTATAATATTTACAATGGAAACATTTCAGGAGTTATCTCTCTTTTCCAATTCATTGTTGTTAGTACAATGTACACCACCTAGCTCTAAACCAGAATTCATGAACCAAACTTAGCATTAGGGTTTGTCTTGACATAGCCTTTGATATTGAAATTTGATGTTATTCTTGAGAACTATATCAGTTCTTTGAAAAAAACAGAAAATTTGTGAGACTAAAAAGAATGTCACATCATGATTTGGCAGATAAAGATTTATCACTGCTCAATTCCTTGCATGGTATTTGAATATATTGAACTAGCACTAGCATTATACCTTCAGGTTTACAAGTCAGATTAGTATCAGTAGCCAGGGATCATTATATTTCAACAGGTTTGAAACTTTACTGTATAACAATTCTTTTAAACAAGGATAAAATATTGTCATGCAATTTTGTGGCAAAAAGAACTTCGTGGGTTGTTGAATGCGTTTCTATGTATATATTTGGGACCCCTTTGTATGCTTGAAAATTGAATATTTGAGATAAAATTTTTCTTTAAAAAATCATAAACAACTGATAAGAGGACATTCTTACCCCTTCCGTGCCATACAGTATATATCCATTTTCATCCAGAAGATAGCAGGTCAGAGTCTACAACATAAAATACAAGAGGATAATGGCCTACATAGCTCACCTTAGTCACAGTTATGTTTTTCCAGTCACTGTATTTGTAAGTGAAAGATCCTAGAATTACCAAAATATTTATTCTCCTGACCCAGTGTTTCTTGAGAAGACCCCACTCAAATTTCTCAATTTTTTAAGAAGTTATGCATGATTTGGAGTCCTTGCCTTTCAATTGATCAAATTAACATGAATCCCAAGCTTTCCTTAGGATAGTGAGTAGCAAGATTTATTTAAATTGTTTTTATGGTTCAAGAGAATAAAATCCAATCTGTGAAAAATGAACATTTAAGATAGCCCCCCCCCCAAAAGACAGACATAATCTGAAATCAGAAAAGTTCATCCTCATAAGTATATGTGTTGAGTGAGCTAATCATCATTTGAATTTATTTACTTCACACAAATAAGTCCTGTTTTAAAGATTTTTGATCAATACATTGTTAAACAAAGGCTGAATTAAAATTGGTACAATTTATTGGAATACTTTATAACTTTATTCCTTTGTACTGTAAGCCTGATATTTATATGAGTTAATTATAAAATACCAATATTTGTAAACTTTTGCAGAAAAAATTCTGTCCAGACTAATAGAACAAAGAATTAAACATACCCAAAGATATTCACAAGAAAAACACTCTGGACCTTTGCAGTCATTGAAATAGAGGTGTTTCTTCAGGATATCTGTGAAGGTGGTGAAATTCTGTAGCATTCCGGCCACAGCTACGTTAGCATCACCCACATAGACGGGTATAGTGGACAGAATGGTCATCACAGATTCCCCTTCAACTACAAAGTCAAGGGTTCATAACATTAGAATTATACCCTTGGCTACAGCATACAACAGACTTATAATCCTTTGTGATGTTAGCCAGTTTGTCTGTTACCAAAGATGGAATCAATGTACAGTCAATTCTCATTATCTCAAACTCAATAACCTCCTAATAATATCCAGTAGTTGGGACTTCCAAATGACTCTGACATATCCATGGTATTCGAGATATCAGTGTATAAAATATCGAAGTTCATCTGTATGATTTTGATATATCCATTGATTCGAGATATCAGAGTACAAGATACCAAAGTTCAACTGTATGATATAGACGTGTACATACCAAACTCTTCATTGATGGGGATGGAGAATGTAAAGTCTATTTTCTTTTCCTCCTTATTCATGATGGCTTGTCTGTAATATAGCTCCTGGACTGTTTCTGTTCTGTTCCCCATCCAATATCTAACATGTAATATCTCAATATCTTATAGTTACATGTATGTACTGTATATCTAATATGTAATAGGGTATATTCGGGTAATTCCGGACAGCGGGTAATTCCGGACAGAAATAAAATGCCTCTGTTTTATGTTATCGTCAATGAAAATCGTCTTATTTTCTCTGAATTGTGTGTATCATTTCGGAAAATAAAACCATTATTCTTTTCTATCATATTCATTTATAATCAAAGGGAATTGCCGATTATTTAGCATGACGTCAATAAAATGACCTTTGCACTTTCTGTTTTGGTGTTGTTGTCGGTTTGCGGGAATATTCAACTTGCCTAAACCAGAGACCAGAGTGAAAAAACTACGAAACAAGTAAGTATTAAATGAAAATATTTAAATAACTGTAATGTTTTAGTTCTAAAGAAGTTAAACATCGAAAAAATTTATGTGACATTAAATTTTTATGCCAAATTTTAACTTGAAATGAAAGAAATTAAATTGTCCGGATTTACCCTACCAAAAAAAATTAAGTGAGGGTAATTGCGGACATAGTTATATTGTGTTCTTTTAGCAGTTCTATGTGATTTATTTTCATCTAGGCCTACATTAAATCTATAAGATAACGAAATTCTAAACTAGGCCTTTTGAATGAGTTGTTTACATAATATCATACATAATAAATTAATTTCAAGAATGTATTATATGTTTATTACAGAGATTCATGAAATATGAGTCACGCATTGGAAAACAACGGATTCGCTGCAGAACTGAAGTTTCCAAAAAAAAAATCAATATATTGACAGACCGCAGTATGTTTTTTTTTTCTTATAGCTACAGTTAGCTAGGGAAACGGTGTGCAGGGGGTTCAAATAAAATCTCGGACACAGATAAAGAATTTTAAAAGCTTTCATAATCATCAACTCGTGTGTGCGCAGGTGTGGGTGGGTGATGTCCGTTACAGTTATCTACAATCTACTAAAAAAAATGATTATTTAAAAAAAATAATAAAACAGGGGTCAAAATGTGAGCTGGGCGAAGAGTAAATCAAGTCTATAGTTATATATTTCATAAAGTGGAAGAGCTCAAATATATTTAATAATCTGTTAAACTTTCCCTTATAAAGCAGCTCTTTTTAAGAGTGAGTGATGATACTATAATTTTTTACAATTTCAACGTACAAAATAAGGTGCCCATAATACGCTCTAAATATTTATTTAAAAATTATACTTATGAAATACTCAAATCTACACATAGTTTCACGCATACACATAATAAATTCTTCCTACATCTTATCCATTTCAGTTTTTTACATTTCCGCAAAAATGCCAATTTTTCATCCACAATTGTTAATATTACAAAAACAGTAATTACCACTGGGACAATATATTATAAGCTCCAACATTAAGAAAACAATCCATATTTTGTTAATTTAAGCCAATATTAGACGGGCCATATAAGAAGGCATATTTAAAACGGACAGAATTAGATGCCAAAATAGTATCGTCTTTGTTATCTGCCGCAGCAGCGTCCGATCTATTCGTGGTTGAGTTAGAAAGTGCACATGGGGAAATGAGACGTTATTTTTCATTATAGTCATAATTCTTGATTGATAAAAAGTAAAAATCATTAGTAAAATATTTTTTAAAAACTTGCTTTAAAATTGACATTAATTGTTGTCATTATATTTCAATTTCATTATTATTTCTCGTCAGATAATTGATAATTTATGGTTATATAAAAAGAGTGTACAATTAAACTCCCAAAATTTGGAGTATGTAAGATATGAAAGGAAATTGCCATGATATTCCGGAAAATGTTGACGTGATAAAAGTGCATGGTGAATATTCAACTCAGTAAAAATATTGATTTGAATATGCTCTAAAGCTGCAAATGATGCAAACATAATTTATAAATTTTGCACTGCGGCTTGCAGCAGAGCCTACTCTGCATAAGCCATGGGCATTATCACGTGACAAAGATCCAGGGTATCAGCACGTGGTTTATCTTGAGAGGGCTACATCATCATTTTCAATAAATTCTCATCATTCATCATTGACTTATTTTTTTTTTACGTCGATGAATCTATTTATGAGCAAATGCGGTAAAATGTCTATTTATTGATTTAAACAAAAAAAATTTACTTTGCTTTGAAGATAAGCAAAAAAAAGATTCAACCATTTCTCCTTTGAATAACCCACGTGCTTTCCTTGCATGTGAAAGAATGTTTTTTACTGCTAAATTTTGTTGCAGCCGATTTGATATTTTGCATCAATTTAACTTGTTTACTATTATACCAGGGTCAAAATGGTTATTAAAACCTAAAGAGGTCCCAGTAGTACTGAATCAACGTGTTGGTCCAACAACAGTGATGCAAGGCTGCAGGATTTCGGACGATTCTGTACTTCAACGAGTTGTCCACCAACTCAATTCTTCAAATATCATTTGTGAGATCAAATATTAAAAGTAAATATGACTGTTCTATTTATAGATTATTCTCGAGACTTACTGTAAGCGGGCAAGGTTCGAGAGCGAGAGTCTCATAAACGAGATAATGACTGTGTGACATTTTTCATTTAAATAAAATTCCGAGAAATTCATATGTGCGTGTTTTAAAGGGGAAGGGGGGGGGGGGGGGTAGTGACATATCAATCAGGGTCGGATTATTTATGTTATTCTCATTTGATAATATATAGTTGAAAATTCTTTTAAAGGACAGATTATTTATTGTCAAATGCAAACTCCCCTCTCATCAAAAACAAATGGTCGTCCTGAATTCCATTCTGAAGTCCAAAAGTAATAAACGAGATGTAAATACTTGAAATTTAATAATTAAATCTCTCTAAATATAACTGCATTAACAACTGAGATGCTTTATATAATAGAGCTGAGGATCTTTGAAATCTTACAAATAATCTAATTACTTACTGTATATGGTATTATTTGACATTGCACGTTTACGCCGCCATACAATTACAAGATTGGCCTGTCCGGATTTACCCGCATTGTGTCCGGATTTACCCCACTCTGCTAATGTTATTTTGCTAATATTTGAATAAGACCTGAAGGAAAACAATCTAAAACATTTATTTATCGAGGATTATGTATGGAATTCACACATCGATTCAAAACTGGGTTACCCATCAATCAGTTTCGCGCTGCTATTCCCACCGAACAACGCTTACGTGAGTTTTGTCCGGAATTACCCGAATATACCCTATCTCAATATCTTATGTGTACTATATCTAATATGTAATATCTCAATATCTTACATGTACTCTATCTAATATGTAATATCTCAATATCTTATATGTACAATATCTAATATGTTATATATCAATAGCCAATATCTTATGACAAACAATAACCAACCAACATAGCAATCAGAATGTCTTTCTGCGCAGTCTATGATAGAATACGTACGGACTAATCTGGGGTGATTTGGTGACCACAAAGTCAGTTAAACCACCTCTGGTGGCAAAAAACAGTAATTCTACACCCATTCTGAAATTAAACGTCAGGTCATAAACAAACAATAACAATTTTATAAGCAAAATCAAGATCAATGATATTCATAGTAAATCAAAGTAAATAGTTACATAATGACCTCATTGAATTAGCTGAAATAAAATTCCATGTCTTAATTGAATTGTTCTCCCATTACTTTAAACTCTTAAGAAGTATTTGTTGACTCTGATAAATTTTTGTCTTACTTGTCATAGTATTTCTTGTAATCATGTCCATAGGAGTACTCACTGTAAAAATCAAACAAATTTCATTTGAAAAAATGAATTTACTGAAAAAATTGATATCTTTTAACAATCAATATTTTGGCTAATGGTGTAGCATAGTAGATCTACATCCTGTGTTCAGTCTATATTAGGATCCTATCAGTATGTGTATCTACCTTTCAGTCCGATTTTTTTACCATCAGTTCTTAATAGGACATACAAATAAAAATTGAACAGCAAAAATAAATTTACTTCACAAACTAAGAATAACAACTAAGCTTATTTGTTTTGATAATCATACGAAATTTTGCCGTTTCAAAAGATATGTATCACTTAATGTTGAATACTTCAATGAATATGAAATTATATCACTCAATATTGAAAGCCTGCATACAGACTTTGAGACAGAATAATTACTGTATACAGGAAAATAATTGCCCCTTTCTCCATTGTCACAAGTGGGCAAATTTAAAATGGGGCAAATTCAAAGAACACAATCTATGATTTCATAAACAGAACTGTGACTGGGTGAATTTAAAATGGTGGAAAATGGTAAGCAATTTTTAAAGGGCAAAATTAACAAGGGGCGAAAATAACCCGTATTCTGTAAGTTTCCAATGAATACACTTTACTTTGATTTACCTCCCTGTCTGTAGGGCATTAGCGATTTTAAATCTGTAATCTTTTTGGTCAGCTATTTTATACTTCATCATATCATGGTGTATTAGAAGGTCACTGTATAAAATACTGTCCTGGTCTTGGCCTACAAATGTAGAAGAAACATGCAAGGGATTTACTGTACAAAGTTAATTACAATTATACTGTATTTTAATACAGCATATAAGTCAAATATTTCTAAATACTAATAGTTAAAAAATATATTTCTATATTATACACTGTTGATTGGATAAATTACATAACAACATTTTACAACCCTCACAAAAGAAATACTCCTTCTACAGAAAAAAATTCAATATGCAGAAGCACAGAGATTTCAATATACATGTACATCATAATACAATTTCCAAGTAAGCCCTGTCCTTACATTTGCCTTTCCCATTCACACATTTATAGAGGTCCAGTATCTTCAGTTTTCTGTCCACACCAGTAGCGTGTAAACTCTCATTGTTCCCACAATAACGCCTGGAAACCAAAAAAAAGTACGTAAGGGTTGCCCGCAACCCTGTGTCTCGCCTGCTGTCGCTGTGGTTAGTAAGAAATGATTGTCTGATAAACTGAAGCATTTATTGACATTTCAGAAGGAATAACTCAAAAATACAATAATAAAGAAATGGAACAGCTGACTTAATATCTAATCCCTTGGCGATTATATTGGCATTTATATATATATACATATACCCTGTAAATTCACAAATTATTGTGATGTTTTTATTATTGCGAATATTGCAACGTGTTATGAGTCGCAATAATTTGAACTTGCATTTTGAAATCAAATCCACTGTATATGTATCAAGTCATTCATGCAGAAAATGTAGGTGAAGATTACCTAATTATGGTACTGATATTGTTGGTTACCCATGATGTGTAGACTGACAAATTATCATGCCACTATAAGTTATAGTTGCTGAGATATGGACCTCCACCATAAATTTATGCAAAGTCACTCATGCGGAAAAATGTAGGTCAAGATGACCTAATTCTGGTACAGGCGTTTGTGGTTACCCATGATGTATCCACTGACAAATTATCATGCCACTATAAGTTATAGTTGCTGAGATATGGACCTCCACCATAAATTTATGCAAAGTCACTCATGCGGAAAAATGTAGGTCAAGATGACCTAATTCTGGTACAGGCGTTTGTGGTTACCCATGATGTATCCACTGACTAACTATCATGCCACTATAAGTTATAGTTGCTGAAATATGAACCTCCATTATCAATTTAACCAAAGTCATTCATGCAGAAAAATGTAGGTCAAAATGACCTAATTCTGGTACTGATGTTGTTGGTTACTTATAACCTGTACAATGACAAATCATCATGCCATTATAAGTTATAGATGCTGAGATATGGACCTCCACCAAAAATTTAACCAAAGTCACTCATGCAGAAAAATGTAGGTCAAGATGACCTAATTCTGGTACTGACGTTTGTGGTTACCCATGATGTATCCACTGACTAATTATCATATCCCTATAACTTATAGTTGCTGGAATATAGGTCTTCACCATAAATTATCATGAAAAAACTAAGTCCAACTTAAGGAAAAAATACGGAAAAATTTGAATTTTTTTTTTCAAAATCATACTTGGGATATAAATTTTTATCCATACTGAATATTGTGTCCAAATTTCAAGAAGACTGAATAAAATTTGAGAAAGTTATTGCAGTTTATAAAACTTTGACATTTGGGTTAACCAAAAGTTGGACGCCGACGACGACGACGACGACGACGGAATCTATGGTCGCTATGTCTCGCTTCGCGACATTCGTCGCAGGCGAGACAACAAGTGTGATGCCAATTTATTTTACATTCAATCTGATCAGAATTTATCTTCCTGATAAAAACACCAAGCTAACTTTTTTGAAAAAAGGGATTAGTCAGACATATTGTAGCATATTAGTTATTCAATACCTTTAATATCTAAAACCAATCTCTTCATGAAAATTCAATGATAATTTGTATTTTAAGGATATCCGATCCTCAGCCAGGAAGGATAACTCCAAAAATTCATATTTAATTTGAAATGCATCAAAATGTAGCTTGAAAATGAAATTTTTTCATGCAACAATTTTCATTATATTCATCTTTATAAGATTCAAGGTTTTTGGAAGTCTTAGAAAAGGTCTTTTAAAAGTTGACATTTGTACCCTATAAAAGGAAAAAAAATTAATATAGTTTTTGAGAAATAAGATTTTCTTGAATCCAGCCTTAGATAGCAATGATTATTAGCATGATATGAAATGAGAAGTGATTTGTGGTGTCTTGCAATGATAGCAAAAGCCTTTTACACTATGTATTATACAATACATGACGGAAATAGAAGACAAAAAATACCAAATAAGTATAAAAATCATGACGAATTCTCTGAATGCCTGGATACCTATCGTTTTTTAACCTAAATATATTTGTTGATCAATTTGCAATTAGAAAATGCATAGCTGATATTCCTATTCGCTTATTCTGCAAAAATATTGGAGATTTGACGATTTTCCCTATATAATATGATTAACTTTAATCTTTAACTTAAAAGAAATACTGTGGATAAATTTACATAACTCTGTGGATTCAGAGATACTTTTATGAGTATTTTTGATTACTTAACTGCTTATTTTATAAACCTGAGGATCGGACGACCTTAAAAAAATTCTAATTACAAAGTACATAATAACAAAACAATTAATGATTTATACTGACTTACCAAGGTGCAAATTCATATTCTTTTTGTTTATTTCCAACTGCAAGTACAAAATCAATATCATTTTGAATGTAATTCATGAGTTTACAGAATGCATGTGTCAGCCTATCTATTATTTATCAAAACTTTGCCATCGTCCAAACAATTTGCCAATTTTTCATCTAATATTTATCTCCCTTATCACAATGACAAAGTGGACATGTCGGAGGAATTATATGGGCAATTCAATATACTCCTCCATGACAATTAACCTCTAGAAACAAAACATGGAAATCAATGGATTCACACTTGCAAATATTTGTTGTTTTTAAAAACTCTTATTTTTCTTGATTGACTTAATTGTAATCATTGACATTTAGAAAGATATTTTAGAACTCTCTTTTTAGAAATTTTTTTTCAGATGTTTTAGATTTCTCTCTTCTTTAAAGATGTTTTACATGTATAACATTTCTGTGTTGATTCGATGTTTTCTTTCTAAGGTTAAAAAAAATACAAACTATTACTCCTTCTGCCAAAAAATCTCAATAACATGCTAGGCAATTCTTCTAACTTGACCTTTTCACAAATTCAAATTTCATTTCCTTTTTGTGATAAAATATTTTCTGAGAGATACTTTGGTAAAAAGTTACATACAATCTAAGCAAATGAACAGCTTAGAGGTTTAACCCTTAGTTCTACTTTAAATTAGAATTAATTAATTAAATAACATTGACCTGCATGAGAAAATTTATGTCTACTCACCATTAGCACAGACACTGTCAAATGTCTTGAGCATAAGTTGGGTACTATATGATGGCAAGGCAAGGGCGACTCTGTATACAAAAAAATAAATAGCTATAGGCTTTGTATTCCTATTTTTATTTAAATAAAATAACACTCAGACCATAAATTGCAATATTTAGATGCAGGATTTGGATTTCTGACATTAAAAGCTACAGTCTGCTTTTACATCATCACCTACTGCAATACCTCTTTTACATCATCACTTACTGCAATACCGCTTTTACATCATCACCTATTGCAATACTGCTTTTACATCATCACCTATTGCAATACCACTTTTACATCATCACCTATTGCAATACCGCTTTTACCTCATCACCTATTGCAATACTGCTTTTACATCATCACCTATTGCAATACTGCTTTTACATCATCACCTATTGCAATACTGCTTTTACATCATCACCTATTGCAATACCGCTTTTACATCATCATCTATTGCAATACCGCTTTATCATCATCACCTATTGCAATACCGCTTTTACATCATCACCTATTATGATACCAACAGTTTACTGATAAAATCCGATTCCTGCACAATTTACACATCTAGCAATACTTACTTGAAAGGAGTTCCCTTTATGGAGGCAGTGTAATATAAATGGTCAACAACTTCAACTCTGTTCTACAATGATAAAATACACTGTCAGAGTCAAGTTTTAACTTAAATTCTAATTACTGTAAAAGCACAAATATTCATGGGGGATTAAATTTCGTTTATTTCGTTGTTAACAGTTATCAACGAAATTAAGACCCACAAAAAATTCTATATGCATACATGCCAACTTTCCCGATTTAGGCGGGATTCTCCCGATTTTACCCTTTCATCCCGCCTTCCCGATCGGGAGAGAAAAATTAACCTAATTTCCCGATTTGTAAAAATTCACCCAAAATTTCCGATTTTATAAGTTCCCTATACCGCTGAATTTTGTCAATTGGGATAACAATGTCAGACTTTATTCAATGCACACAGATAAGTTTCATTGTTTATTTAGGTGTTAACATGGTTAATTAGCCACAGGAAATACTTCACGCTTGAATGCACGGAGTCGTCCAGGTGCAGGTAGCTTATAGCATGGGGCAATTAATTAGGGGATTATCTTTTCAGTTTTAAGGGGTATGCAAGGTGAAACACATAGATTAAGGGGATAATTGTTTGTCATTTTATTGAAAACATAAATTAAAGACAACTTAATAATAACCAAACCATAAAATCGGAATCCAAGGAGATCGTTATTTGAAAACGAAAGTAGAAAACTATAAAGCATAGCTGCTGACTTGATCTACTTATAATGAAAAAATATTGTAAAGTTTGTCAGTTAAAATAATATGAAAAAAATCCTGATGAAACAATAAAGTCTATGTCGATTAGAATTTTTTTCCCTCCCTTCTCCCAAAAGTAATTATAATATTTTATGCATATGTGACTAAGAAATATATACCCATAGTACCATCAAGCCTGCCAAAGTTCAAGACTGTAAAAAAATAAATTTCTTTGGGATAGGTGGTATCTTTATGTTAGAAAATTGATGATTTAATTCTTCAAAACTGATGATTTATTTCTTTGAATAAAAAATAATTGCATTGCAATTTCTCAAAATTTATTTAAATTTAATATATCTGATTAGAATTTCTGATTAATTAAAATATAAAAAATCTCATAAATGTTCCCAGAAACAGTACTTTACAGTATCAAAATGTTATACAATTTTCAATTTTTCACCAAATTATGTGTCCTAGCTGGTAAAAAAAGTTTACCTATGTAACTAACTATCCCTTCTTTAGTGAGAGATCGAGGCACCTATTTGAGCAAAAATATTTCCATTTTGGAAAGAAAAACCTCATTTGTGTGTTATTTTTATCCTTTAGTAGTATTAATAAATGATATTAATTATATTATAAATTTAAAAAAAGGATCATGTCATAATCATTTAATTTCACGACAAAATGTCGCGAATTTAAAGCTATGAAAAATGTCGTCACACGCAAAATCCCCCATGGAAATTTTCAAAAGTTGGCATGTATGTATATGACTATATATTGAACACGATTACATTCAAAACAACGAAATTAAATGCCAACGAAACTATTTTTGATGACAATTAAATCAAAATTTTATCCCCACGAAAATATGTGCTTCTACAGTAGAATCTCAATAATATACAGATTTCATGAAGACACATCAGAATACTTGTCTCCTACATGGTCAATCTAAACACACTCAAGTTTCTATTCTGTAATAAGGTGTATGTATACCACTTATCATTCTGTCATAAGATATGCAAGTACCATTTACCATTCTGTCATGGGATGTGTGAGTACCAATTACTATTTTGTCATAGGTGTACAGTAAAACTCATTTAGTACAAACACAGATATTGCGAATTCATGGATATAGTGAAGTTATCTTGGATCCCCAGCTATACAAATTTAACAAAATCCTTTTACGGATATAACAAATTACGGATATAGCGAAGTAATTTCATAGGTCTCGGTGACTTCGTTACAGCCGAGTTTTACTGTATGTGTACCACTTCCCATTCTGTCATAGGTGAGTACCACTTACCATTCTTGTCAAAAGGTGTATGTGTCCTCTTATATTTATCATTAGGCATGTATCTTTCTGTTATATGTGAGTACCACTTACCATTCTGTCATAAGGCACTTTCACTTTAAGGCGAATAGGTTTTCTTCTGTTTGAGGCACTTAATAGTTTTTGTCGGAACTGAAATCATTTTAAAACTCACTTATTACGAGAGATGTAATAGATCTGAAAACTATATTCATGAAAAAATTAATCCTTTTAAGGAAACTTAAAGATATGATTGTAAAGATTTGAAATGTATGTATGATTATATATTTTCAATTAATTAAACTATTTTAAGGCATAACCTTGGTAAAGCTTACAGACAAAAAAACAGATGAAATTCTCTCAATATCCCTTATTAAATAATCTTTTGATTGAAAAACTGTACTGTATAGATATAAATTAATGTCACCTACTTTATGTAAGTCCGTGTGATTAACAGCATACTCCATCTCTGTTATATCAATGGTGTTGTAAAAGGGACGAAACTCTTTCTTGTGTTCCGATGTTTCATTCTATACAAAAGAGAAAAATACCTCAATAAATAAAGCTTCCATTTCCCCTAAAAAACAACAAGCTCAGAAGCTTCAAAACTAATCCATGTCATCTGTAATTTTAAATATATGTAATTAAAGTATATATATATTTTTTATCATTCTTGATTTCAAATAACTAATATAGCCAAGTAAAACTAGTGCTAAGTTTGATTGAAAGTAGTCCACTGGTTTTTAAGAAAATATTTAAATATGAAAATTTCACAGATGCTGCACTTTATATTCAAGATATATTGTACACTTCAATCAGAAAATCATCAATTTACCAAAGCGAGCTTAGAAAATGATAAATTACTTTAAATTACCACAGATTCGAAAAAATTAAACTCGGCAAGAAATTTCTCCATTAAGAATTCACACACAGTCAAACCTCTGCTTAGCAGAGAGTATTTACTCAGTTCCTGTCATAGGTGACCTTTATAATTTCCTTTCACATGTTTCTTTATACATGTATATGTATGTGAACAAAGTTAAGTATACACAAAAATCTTCCTTAGCTTTCTTACCTTTTTATGGTCATCCATATGGCCGTATTTAACCTGAAAAGACACATATAAATATATATACTGTAACGGTCCAGAGTTTTGACAGATAAGTTTTATACAGTTATTGAACCTGATTATTGTTGACATTTGTAGGAGAGTTGAGATGAATTTTTATCTATGTGTTATAGTTACTTGATATTGCAGGAATATGTACTGATTTATGCTTTGCATGTAGTTGATAGGTGATTATTGACAAGTTTAAGTGATTTACATGAGTTGAAATAGTTTGTGCACATGTTTTGATTTACGTAGAAATCAGCTGATCATAGCTATAGTAAAGTTGTGGTGTTATTTTAGCTTACTTCATGTTTCAGGGACTTTGATTGGTCTTCTGTAGTAGATGAACCGTAGACTTATAGATGACATCATGTTTACTTGAAGTTTAACTTGTTTTCAGTTAATTATCGGCAGTTTATAAACTGGTAGATTTGCTTACGAACTTGGCGGTCGTAAATTGTGTAGGTCGAGCCCGATCGTAAAAGTTGCGATAGTTTTAGGATTTTTGGAGTTAATTGTGTTATTTGTTGATTTAAATGGAGATTAATTGACTTATTCTAATTGAAGAATGTATTTGGAGATTACTTTCATTCAGAAAAGTTGTCTTGTATGTAGTTATTAGATTTTCTATAGACTTTGCTGCTTACGGGAAATGTCACGAGAGATTCTCCAACGTTTTCCAACAAGTCCAACAGTTTCCAACATTTACGTCATGTTATTATATAAAAGAGAGAGATTCAAGGAATTTTTGCTCTTCTGCTAGGTTGATTCATTTAGAGAAGAAGTGTGTTAAGGGGTAAGGAGTTAGCATGGGTTGGGCGTTTTGAATTTAATAATGACTTTTTAGTTTTAGTTTAAGAAGAGTCAGGGTTAATTTAAGGATTTTTAGGAACTTTTAGAATATTTGTGGAATTTTATAGGAAGTTTTGGTGAGGATTTAGTGAATTTTAACTGAGAATTGGACTTGGTTAAATTTTGCTGGTTGTTTGAATTTTTGGTAAATTGTTGTTAAATTTTAGAAATACTTAAAATTGTTTAGGTAATTTATACATTTAGCTAAGGAAGCTAGTGTATTTCTAAATTTTGCTACTGTTTTTAACTGGAATTCAGACTTAAGAAATTTGCAGGAATTACTGGTATTTCCAATTTGTTAGGAATTAATTAGGTTTAAGGGATTAAGTTTTAGTTATTGGTTTTTACTTTCATCCAGGAGGTCTGGAAGGAAGTTCTGAGAAATAAGAGTTTTGTGAGTTGTATTGAGGTTGGTTTTAGGTAAGTCAGGACTAATAGGTGACACAGACAGACTGAGACAGAGCTTAGAATTTGTTTGTTGATTGTTTAATTGAGAAATAATTCTTGTAATAAATTGTAAAACTGTATTTTGTCTCATTTCAAGTACAGAGATTTATAAGGTTTTATCAAAGTGTGATTTTCCAACAAGATGGAAATTGCGGGATATAAAAGAGTAAGAAAAGAGTAATGAAATAAATGAGTATTAGAGAATTTATAGTGACTTCCTTAGGTCTAGGTTGTAACAAGCTTGACAAATAGAGAAGAAAAGCTGAGAGATTTCATGTATTAATAAATTTAGTGTAACTTAGAGAGCGCGGGTTAATAAAAGGAGGTTTAGGTTTTGGGCAGTGGTGTATTATCTGAGTTCATTGATTAAAGGGAGATAATTTAGTGTGTGGTGATGTAAGATTAAAGAGTATTGAGTTTTGAACCACTGTGCCATACTAGCCCTCCTGAGCTCGGGTTGAGCTGTGTAACGCAAGCCTTGCCACGAAAGATAAGACAGCCCCTATAGATAGAGTGAGGGAGTGCGGTCCCAGCAGTAGTAGGAGAGGTGCCGTCCGCCTGCCCCCACCCCGTTACAATACTTTGCAAAAAGAATTTTCCCCTACTTAAAAAGTATGAGGAATCACAATGACTTTTAAAAGATCCCAACATGTTTTTGCTATTGTTATTTTAGTTGGCTCCCCTTGAAATGCAAAAGACAGATTGACTAAACTTAAATCAGAGGCACATTAACTCAAATTGATCAAATCAATACATAAAACCTTACTGTTTTCTGGTACATAGGCTTCATATTGGGATGAAACAGCACATATCCGTGGTGGGTATACATAAAGGCATAAGCATTAGCTCCCAGTTTGTCTTTGGGCACAAGGTCTTTGATTTCTTGGATTGGTACGTCTGTTCCCATTACACCCAGCAAACTTCCTTTACTTGTCTGAAATAACAGTCAGCATTATTAGAGTTAACTTTATACAATGTGTTTTGTACATGTAGGTTGTAACTTGTAGCACATTCCTTAATTTCACGAGACAAAAAAGGAATGCACTGAAAAAAATTTTACCAATTAAAATCATAAATTTTCACTAAAAATAGTCATTGATCATGCAGGATCTCTTTTTGAGAAGTTAATGTATGTTTTTTTAAAAAATCAGCAGACAATGATTATCATTTCATACTTGATTTGCAAAATATTAGTATATAAGTTAAAGCTATTAAATACTTTGGAATCTTCCTCTAATTGTACAAGCATTTTTGAGCACCCAAAGACAATTTTCAAAGTTGAGGATTAAAAAATGTCTATGTTCTTAATCTAATGTATAGATTGTGATAGATTCTTTTTTATATCAAATGGTCAAATTGTAAAGCAATATTCCTAATATTATAAAGTTTTCACTGCTGTTTGAAATATTCTTGAACACACCAATGCATCATTCTTGAAAACCATTGAGAGTCATTATATAATGCCAACAATCCATCACAGACAATTTCAAATCATAAAATGCCCAAAGGCAACAATATTACTATTCCTCTTAACAGTTATCAAAACAACATTAATAGCCTTATCCTCATCAAGTGAGTTAATATCAAGAATTAAGATTGATCATTTAATGAAAAAAAAGATGCACAGATATATAGATTGTATAATGTATCATATATTTCATGATATAATGATTACTATTAATCCATTTTTTTTTTAAAGTGAAGTTCTTGGCTATTTTTTTAATCAAACTGATTGGGGAAAAAATTGTGTAAATCTAATTGCAGCGTTTCATGTAGACAAATATTTCCCTATCTTTCATCGTTTACAGTTGGTCTAAGCTTTCACTTACAGACATGTTGCTGGTGTCAAACACAGGCATGGAAACAGAAGTGACCAAGCCAACTCCCTGTCAGCATTAATAAAAATAAAGAAATAAACTTCTCATTAAGATTCAGAGTAAACCAGAAGTCTCTGTCGAGACTGTAGCTCTACTGGTTTGTACTTATAACAAAGGATGAGAAAAGAAGCCATTGTCATTAGACCAAAACTGTAGAAGGAGTAGCATTTTAAAGGAATTTCACAGACATTTCTATATTTAGTAACAATGGCAACACCATTCATCGAAATCAAAAACCGATGCACTATTTTAATATGTGTATTAGTGTAGTCTACTTGTGTGCCAAGTAATATTGAAATAAGACCAAAACTGTAGACAAAAGTAGAAATAGTAGCGTTTAAAAGGAATTTCATAGAAAATTCTATTTTTAGTAACCATGGCAACACCGTTTATGGAAATAAAAAAAAAAATGCACTATTTTATGTATCTTAGTGTAGTCTACTTCTGTGCCAAGTTATATTGAAATCAGATTAAAACTGTAGGAGGAGTAGCGTTTTAAAGGAATTTCACAGAAAATTCTATTTTTAGTTACCACTGCAACACCGTTCATTGAAATAAAAAACCGATTCATTATTTTATGCATCTTAGTGTAATCTACTTGTTTGCCAAGTTATATTGAAATCAGATCAAAACTTGAGGAAAAGTAGCATTTTAAAGGAATTTCTCAGAAAATTCTATTTTTAGTAACAATGGCAACACCGTTCATGGAATTCAAAAACCGATGCACTATTTTATGTATATTAGTGAAGTCTACTTGTTTGCCAATTTATATTGAAATAAGACAAAAACTGTAGAAGGAGTAGCGTTTTAAAGGAATTTCACAGAAAATTCTATTTTTAGTAACCATGGACACACCTTTCATCGAAATAAAAAACCGATGCACTATTTTCTGTATCTTAGTGTAGTCTACTTGTGTGCCAAGTTATATTGAAATAAGACAAAAACTGTAGAAGGAGTAGCGTTTTAAAGGAATTTCACAGAAAATTCTATTTTTAGTTACCACGGTAACACCGTTCATTGAAATCCAAATCCGATGCACTATTTTTTGTATATTAGTGTAGTCTACTTGTGTGCCAAGTTATATTGAAATAAGACAAAAACTGTAGAAGGAGTAGCGTTTTAAAGGAATTTCACAGAAAATTCTATTTTTAGTTACCACAGCAACACCGTTCATTGAAATAAAAAACCGATTCATTATTTTATGCATCTTAGTGTAATCTACTTGTTTGCCAAGTTATATTGAAATCAGATCAAAACTTGAGGAAAAGTAGCATTTTAAAGGAATTTCTCAGAAAATTCTATTTTTAGTAACAATGGCAATACCGTTCATGGAATTCAAAAACCGATGCACTATTTTATGTATATTAGTGAAGTCTACTTGTTTGCCAATTTATATTGAAATAAGACAAAAACTGTAGAAGGAGTAGCGTTTTAAAGGAATTTCACAGAAAATTCTATTTTTAGTAACCATGGACACACCTTTCATCGAAATAAAAAACCGATGCACTATTTTCTGTATCTTAGTGTAGTCTACTTGTGTGCCAAGTTATATTGAAATAAGACAAAAACTGTAGAAGGAGTAGCGTTTTAAAGGAATTTCACAGAAAATTCTATTTTTAGTAACCATGGCAACACCGTTCATCGAAATAAAAAACCTGTGCACTATTTTCTGTATCTTAGTGTAGTCTACTTGTGTGCCAAGTTATATTGAAATCAGACCAAAACTGTAGGAGGAGTAGCGTTTTAAAGGAATTTTACAGAAAATTCTATTTTTAGTAACCATGGCAACACTGTTCATTGAAATAAAAAACCGATGCACTATTTTCTGTATCTTAGTGTAGTCTACTTGTGTGCCAAGTTATATTGAAATCAGATCCAAACTGTAGGAGGAGTAGCATTTTAAAGGAATTTCACAGAAAATTCTATTTTTAGTTACCACGGCAACATGGTTCATCGAAATCAAAATCCGATGCACTATTTTATGTATCTTAGTGTAGTCTACTTGTGTGCCAAGTTATACTGAAATCAGACCAAAACTGTAGAAGGAGTAGCGTTTTGAAAAATTGTTTACAGACAGACGGACAGACAGACGGACAGACAGACAGACAGCTAGACAGACGGACGGACGCCGGACGCATTACTATCGCATAAGCTCTTCTGGTCTCTGACCAGTAGAGCTAAAAACAAAGGTAATCAACGATTACAGAGCTCACCTCGACGAATGGTTTTCTTTAAATAAGGCTAAGTCACACAATTAACCAACAAGAAGTGTACATTCAAAAGATGAAAATATTTAAGCAATTTTAATCTGAATTTGAAATAGAACAACATAAAAAATTTAAACTAGTTCTTCTTCATGAAAATGTAATTAAAATCCAGCATCTGAAGCAAATTTGAGAGTTTTCATCTCTTGATGCAACATTTGTGCAAGTTTGGTTTATACAATGTTATATAAGCCTTATAGTTTTTTGGTAATAGACCTGCACCCATAACTTTTACCTGGTCTATTATCTGAAAATATATGTCGAATTCAGCATCTGAAGCAAGTCCATTAGTGTGCATCCTAAGATGTATCATCCATGCAAGTTTGCTCATTATAGGGCTCATAGTTAATTGGAAATGAAACATGCATCAAAAACTAACATTTTCATTCAGCAACAAAAAGTAGGTCAGATTCAGCATCCGAAGCAAGCCCAGTAGTATGCATCCTTATATGTATCATCCACGCAAGTTTGGTCATTAAAGAACTCATAGTTACTTGGAAATGAATCATGCACCAAAATCTTTAACCTATTCACTCAACTGGAAAATGTAGGTCAGATACAGCATCCGAAGCAAGCCTGGTAGTATACATCCTAATATATGTATAATCCATGCTAGTTTAGCCAACATAGGGCTTATAGTTACTTGGAAATGAAACCTGCACCAAAAACTTTAACCTGTTCACTCAACCAGAAAAAGTAGGTCAGATTCAGCATCTGAAGCAAGCCCTGTAGTGCATCCTTAGATGTATCATCCATGCAAGTTTGGTCAACATAGGGCTTACAGTTACTTGGAAATGAAACCTGCACTAAAAACTCTATCTTGTTCACTCAACCAGAAAATGTAGGTCAGATTCAGCATCCGAAGCAAGCCCAGTAGTATGCATCCTTAGATATATCATCCATGCAAGTTTGGTCAACATAGGGCTTATAGTTACTTAGAAATGAAACCTGCACCAAAAACTTTAACCTGTTCACTCAACCGTAAAATGTAGGTCAGATTCAGCATCCGAAGCAACCCTGGTAGTATGCATCCGTAGATGTATCATCCATGCAAGTTTGGTCAACATAGGGTTTATAGTTACTTGGAAATGAAACCTGCACCAAAAACTTTAACCTGTTCACTCAACCGGAAAATGTAGGTCAGATTCAGCATCCGAAGCAAGCCTGGTAGTATGCATCCTTAGATGTATCATCCATGCAAGTTTGGTCAACATAGGGCTTATAGTTACTTGGAAATGAAACCTACACCAAAAACTGCACCAAAAAGGTTAACCTGCTCCAAAAACATTAACCTGGTCATTCCTTTGCTGAAATTGCAGCATCTGAAACTTTGACTGGTACAATGAAACACACTAGAACCATCTTCCATGCATGTCTAATCAATATAGGACATAGAAGTACTTAAAAAGAAAACTGCTCCAAAAAACTTAACCTTAACCTGGGACGCCGACGCCGACACCGACGCCGACACCGACACCGACACCGACGCCGACGCCGACGCCGACGCCGAGGGTATTACATAAGCTCCCCCAACTTCGTTGAGGTGAGCTAAAAACAAATTTATCTTAAAAAAATAGATCAGGTAAGAAATAAAAGAACAGCAAAATAAGTACTGTATATGATTATTTTTGCCCATTCACCTTTGCAAACAATTTTGTCCCGTTTTAAATTCTCCCTAGCACAGTTTTGTTTATGAAATTATACTGTATTTTTTGAATTCGCCCCCTTTTTAAATTCCTCCAATTGAGGTTAGGATGAAAGGGGCGAAAATAAAATGGGGGCAAAAATTTCCCTGTATTCATGCAGTACAGTAAAACTCGGTTAGTATGAACACGGATATTGAGAATTCACGGCTATAGCGAAGTTATCTTGGATCCCCAGCTACATAAATTTAGCGAATTCCTCATATGGATATAACGAATTACGAATATAGCGAAGTAATTTCGTAGGTCCCTGTGACTTCGTTATAACTGAGTTTTACTGTATATAGAATGTTACATTTAACTTTTAAAAGAATTTACATTCACGTTCAAAAAAAGTATCATATTGTCCTAATTATTACAGTGTGTTCCAACCAAGCACTTCCACCATATATTTTAAACAAAATTTAATTTTTGAATTGTTTTAAAATTGATTTTTATTTACATTTAATTTTCATCATTTCCTGACATGCAACTTAAGTCCTAGAATAATAACACACAATAACACTACATATATTTGTATGTCATATCATATTAATTTATCAGTAATTACATGTAAATAGTTAAAATATAAAACCATTTAATTATAATGCAAAATATACATGAATGCGACCTATATGTATAGTCATGTGACATTTCCCTGGTTACCTTTCGTAAGTTCTGGGACACCTCGGTAGAGTAATCCGCATATACGGGAGTCCACTTAGGAATTCTGGGAAGACTTCCCTCCTTTCTGGCTATCCCCATTGGCCGACTCAACACACGTAGATAATACTGAAATGGGACAATTAATGCAATTGTTACAGTTAACTTAAAGGCAGTTATAAAAGCAACATTTCAGTAATGGATTTTTGTTTTCTGGAGATTTGACCGACACTGAATGGTCATCAAAGCATACCACCATAATTTTCCTATCATATTATATTGTAATACACACTGTGTGACACAATTTATTTAGCCCCTAAATATTTGAGAACATTCAGTACATGAGTTTGAAAATCAAATAAGTCCCAATTTTTATTTAAGTCAGTTAAAACAAATATGAGTTTGAAAATTGTTTATGACATATATACCGGTAGATGAAATATGACTGACAATCTATTTTTGTAAAGAAGAGCTAAAAAGAATAATGCATATTCAATTGGTTAAAATCAATAACATATAAAAAGCTATCATTTTTGTTATTAAAAATTCTTGAATTTCAAAAAAAATAAAATATGTCAATACTAAAAGCGAAATTTTTCAGCTATTTATTAAAATACAATTTATGTAAAATTTCCATTCTGCATTAACAGCTTACTCTTCCAGTTCCAGAGCTAATTGCTTTAACATTTTCAATAAAAGGTCATGTTCTCTATAAGTATCTTGGTAGTTTACAGGCATTAATTACTTTGTGACTGCCTGCATCTGAGATAAAGATTTTCTTCTATATTAATTGGCAACTTCAAAAAGGAAATAAATCTTCATCAGGACACTCTCTTTGGATCTGACAAATTCTCATCAGGTTTTTGCCTTTAATGGAGAAACCAAGGAGATACAAGAAAGAGACCTACGAATGTTATTTAATCACATATTCCTTTCGTCCTACACAGATGTTAGCTTGCAGACATAACTTGTCTTAATTACAAAATAAAATTAGATTTTGCTGAAACTGACTGCTCAGGCATCAAGTTCATATAATTGAAGATTTTTTTTTTTATCAAAACCCACTACACTGTATCCTTTTGGTTTCTTTTCTTTTTTTTTTTTTTTTTTTTTTTTTTTTTTTTTTTTTTTTTTTTTTTTTTTTTTTTGTTGAAATTTTCCATTTTATTGATTGTGAAGATAAAAAAAAAACCCATGATCCTAAAGGTTCTGAAAATTGGGAGTTGATTCATATTCTTGCAAAAATATCTCCAAATTCTCAGAGTAGTATTCACCCAATGGTATTTGTATCAATGAGAATTAGCTACTGGCAGGCACAAAGAGACATGTTTTCATCACAAACATATGATGCCTACAATGTATACAATTTCATCTAAGTTCTAGAACTAGAGTGAGCATGTTGTATATATAGGTTCAAAGTCTTATTCCTTGAAGTCTCAAATAAATTCAGAAGTGAATGCGAGATGGGTACTAATACTTTCGAGATTCCAGAACATGACATTGGATCAGTCAGGGAGAGTAACACTAAAGTAGCAAGTTCAGGTGGATGGATCTGCTTTCCAGCAGTCACATATAAACTATATTAGTATAAATGATTAAATCAAATACCTGAACACTTTCCTGTACATCTGCTAGTGTTGAAATGTGGGTGTAATATCCTATACAATGAAAAAAGAAATGAGAATTCAACATGCATAAAAAAATTTATATAAATTTATATTAAATCCTTTACAAGAACTATAAATATGTGAATATTAAAAGAATAACCTTAGATACTTAATATACATTAAAAAAAACATGTCCATCATCAAAAGATTTCTTTTTTTTTCTTCATGCTTTGATACAGATATACTGTTGTTAATTTATTATTGAATGATTGTTTGGATTTCTAACCTTTGCCAGCTCCATACTGGAAGTATTCAGTGTCTTGTGAATTTATGGAAGGGGGAGGCTTTTTACTAGAGTAGGTGTAAGTTTTTTGATAATCATACCTTTACCCTTCTTTGGGGTATGGAGTTTAATGAGTAATCTTACCCTTATTGGCGCAGGCCATCCACTTGGCATACCTGTTCTCCTTTACTTCTCGTCCAACCAAAAACGAGAACAGTCGCACCTTCAAATCAATATTTTAAGATTATAATGTTACAGATCATTTTTAAAAGATAAGTGGCAATACAGTGTAATAACTTTCCCTAAATGTTTAGAAGGTTCTACATGTAGGTGTCTACAAACATTCATATAACATAAAGAGGTTTCTCTATAGATTTGAGTTCAGACGGAATGTATATATTATTTTTATGAAAGATAGCTCTTGGAATAACCATGTATCCCTTTATTTTCTAGGCTGTAAGTATGCTATTGATGATATACTTGGCATCTGCTTAGGCTCCTGGCAGCCCTTATATTGCATGACAGCATCAATAATGGATGTCTAGCACCCCTCTATTTGTTTCAGTTATCTATAGTTGCCAAATTTTTATCCCAAATGGCAAATAATTTAGAGTTGCGAAATTCATTGATGAAGAGATATAAATATAAATGGATTTTTTCTTCGTCTCCTGCTTTCCCGATGTCAGCCTGAATTCTCTGACTTGGCTAAACATTTTCCAGACCAAGAAGTAATTACCTTCTCCAGGGAATAATTCTAGAACCCCATCATCAAAACACTCTTTATGAATCAAACCATAGCAGACTGCTTTTTCTCAGAAAAAAAATTCATGATAATTATGATTTTCATAGTTATTTCCCCAAGGAAATCACAACTCTATATTTTGAGAGATGTAGTAATTGACTGAGACCATAAAAAATTTGTACTTTTGCCTTGAGACCTATTCTAACCACTCACAGTTTTATTGGGCCAATTATGCTTGTCAAAGATTTCTCTGTAGGTCTCGGCTGGTCCATCCGTGATCAACATAATGGCTTTATTACAAAGATTCTTCGCATCATTATTCTCCTGTAGGTAAAATAGTTCACAGAAACCAAATAAACAAATCACAATCTTTTCTCAGTATTTTGGTATTTTTAAAATTCCTTTTATTCTGACTTAACAATATATAGAAGCTGATAAAACATTATTTGGCAACAAATTTTCAATATCATTGAGGATTATATTGTATGCATTGCAAAATACCAAATCATTTCAACATGTTCAAGTCAGTTTCTGTTCACTTACAAAGAGTTTGAATGCCTCCTCCAGTGCCAGATTTAGCTCCCCTTTCTGTTTCATTTCTAGCTCCCTGAAGAGTTTGACAGCGTTTTGTTTGTTCTGTATGTTGGCCTGCATCAGTGTCCCATTAAAACAGCTGTCCAGGTACTCCGGCTTGTCAGAATACTGAAGGAAATATATATCTCAAACTTATTCTACAGAATGGACTCATTGAAGCTTCTCAATGTCTGCTTAAAAATCACAAGCACAAACATGAAACAATTTTTTTAACAGTTTAAATTGAACTACAACTGCATGTTTTTAAAAAAAATTAACACAGTACCGTATATTAGCATGCTTTCTTCCTTTTAACAAAAATTGAAATAGAATTTTCTGTTCCTGCTGTAAAAAATCTTAAATCTCTCTCCTTTTACTTTGAATTTAACACAACTGTTTTAAAAATTTGTTAATTAAAATACCCTGATAATGTTGAAGTGGTCATCATCACTGAGAGTTTCCAGGAGTTTCTGTATGGTTTTGCCCGTTATGATTCTTCGCCGGCCCTTCATACTGCCGCTGGTGTCCACCAATATTACAATATTCTTAGAAGAGCTGGCTGCCTTAATATACCTTCAAAGTTGAAATAATGTCATCAAATATTATGGAGGATATGAGGATTATAACAACAATCTTTGCTTTAAAACGAGTGAGAAAATTATTACCAGCTCCTGACCCTACAGTCATACATATCCACACTGTCCTCTTCATTCCTGATCGGCCATTTTATACCTGTAGAAAAGGTGAATAAGAAAATACCTGAAGAACGGGCAATCCAAACTCTTGCCTTACTAAATATACTCAGCCTGGTAATACAATGAATGTTCCACAGTAAAATGGCCAGTGAAAGAAATTGAGATCATTATTCTTTTATTTTTTTACAGACAGTATAAAGAGAAATACATGGCTATATATCATTTAATTCAAATAACAATTAGTTCCTTTTAAACTAATCTCTTAAATTATTCATGTAAAATGACTAACTTTCCAAGACTTTCTACTAATAAAATTAAATAATATAAATTTTACGAGTATTCCTGGCTCTACGTAAAGTGTTTATAACATGTAAGTACAAGCCAATTAATATCTGGCCGGTAAAATCTGATCAAAAGCAGTCCTACCTGGGTAAACCCGGAGAAAACCATCAGCATTACAGAAGTACTGCCACCTAAGGTCTGAAATCTCCTTCCTGTTCTCTTTAAATACTGGATCCAACTTCTTCGACCACTTGATGCCATTTAGGATCACTGGGGCTGATCAATAATTAAGTTAAAGAAACCAGAAGTCTCTGTCGAGACTGAAGCTCTACTGGTTTGAACTTATAGCAAAGGAAGAGAAAAGTACTTAAGCAGCTGGGATTTGAAACTAAATAGAATAATGATCGTTGATAAAGTCTCTTTATGTTCTTAGTGTAGTCTACTTGTGTGCCAAGTTATACTGAAATCAGACCAAAACTGTAGGAGGAGTAGCATTTTGAAACAATTTTACAGACATTTCTATTTTTAGTAACCACGGCAACACCGTTCATCAAAATTAAAATTCGATACACAGAATTATGTATCTTAGTGTATTCTACTTATGTGCCAAGTTATATTGAAATCAGACCAAAACTGTAGGAGGAGTAGCATTTTGAAACAATTTTACAGATATTTCTATTTTTAGTAACCACGGCAACACTGTTCATCGAAATCAAAAACCGATAAACAGAATTATGTATCTTAGTGTATTCTACTTGTGTGCCAAGTTATAATGAAATCAAACCAAAACTGTAGGAGGAGCAGCATTTTGAAAGAATTTCACAGAAATTTCTATTTTTAGTAACCACGGCAACACCGTTCATCAAAATCAAAAACCGATACACAGAATTATGTATCTTAGTGTATTCTACTTGTTTGCCAAGTAATAATGAAATCAGACCAAAACTGTAGGAGGAGTAGCATTTTGAAAGAATTTCACAGAAATTTCTATTTTTAGTAACCACGGCAACACCGTTCATCGAAATCAAAAACCGATACACAGAATTATGTATCTTAGTGTAGTCTACTTGTGTGCCAAGTTATAATGAAATCAAACCAAAACTGTAGGAGGAGTAGGATTTTGAAAGAATTTCACAGAAATTTCTATTTTTAGTAACCACGGCAACACCGTTCATCAAAATCAAAAACCGATACACAGAATTATGTATCTTAGTGTAGTCTACTTGTGTGCCAAGTTATAATGAAATCAAACCAAAACTGTAGGAGGAGTAGCATTTTGAAAAATTGTTTACAGACAGACGGACAGACAGACAGCTAGACAGACAGACGGACAGACGGACGGACGCCGGACGCATTACTATCGCATAAGCTCTTCTGGTCTCTGACCAGTAGAGCTAAAAAATTATAACTAGAATGCTACCATAATTAAGACCAAAATACCCCCCAAATAAGTGACTACATTTAACAAATTTTTATGTACTGTTTATGACTCTTGTTGCATCTGGGTAACTGCATGTATCTAACTGCTCATAAAATACCCAGGTGAGCTTATGGCCCAGCTAGGGGCCTTTGAAAGTAGCATTTCATGTACAATGTATTAAATCAATTTATTACCAGTGTGAAATTCAGGAATTGAATCAATAATTATTGAATGAAGAATATATAAACTGCTTAAAATTGAGATCAAAATTTCAAATGGACTACAATTTGTAATGAAGCTTTCAAAATTGTTTCAATTTTCTTGGTACACTGGTCCTTGAGCATGTTGAGAGGGAGAATTATTTTCAACCATCTGCTCTCTTGAGAGAGAGCAATGGTCCTTCACCTTCTACATTGAATAAATTTGAATCTCATTTACCAAATGATGCTTTGTGGTAAGTTCCATTGAAATAGACGCAATTTTTTTTGAAAAAGAATAAATCAAAAATTTGAATGAAAAGACAGACAGAACGAAGCAAAATGTGACCAAAAAAAACTCACTTAAGCCATACATGTTAACCTATTGTGATGAAAAAGAGGGAGATTCAGACCTCAAAAGCGGTAGCATTGCGCGCGTGTTGTTTAACGCTTGGATTATCGATATCTTTCATGTAATATACATGTATACTATAAGCCTTAAATGAAATCAGGTACCTACACTTATTAATCTTAAATATCAACAGCAAAGAAGAAGACAGAAACACCTTAAGTTTGACATAAATTATACAAATTCAAATATTTTTCATGCTCATCATTTTGCTTGGATTGGCTGCTTTACTTAGCCTTTTGAAGAGTGATCTTTGCTGAAATAGCCTAGAAGCAATAATTCTGAATGTTCATTCAGTTTTTAAACAAAACAAATGATGGCATGGTTTAATCTAGATATAAAACAAGTTCGTATCTTTCGTTTTATAAATCAGATTTCCCGCGATGATCAAAAACGAAAGTAGAGATGTGCCACGTGGCTTGGTCAATCGAGTGATTTCTATTGACTTTATTGATAAAGCTGTGAGCTTCTGTGATTTTAAAGACGATGTCAAATGTTTTAATCTAATTCTTAAAAGCTGTGTCTCCTTTTTCATGGCAGGGATGTTGATTATTCATCGTAACCAATGTAATCACTGGTAGTCTTATGTTGTTGTCGTTGTCAAATCCGTGCTTGAAATCTATGTACAAAAAAAGCGTTTGCATGATTCCAAGTCAAATCACGCGATATCTAGCGAGATTTTATGAGAGTGGCTTCAAAAATGGATACCCAAGCGAACCAAAAATACTTTAGACGCAGCTTTTGTAGAAAAGCGGTAGATTTCTGAATTAAATCGGTAGGCGGGAGATGGAGTGAAAAAGCGGTAGACTCCCGCCTAAATCGGGAGAGTTAACATGTATGCTTAAGCCTTTGACTCAGGTGAGCTTAAAAATGATTCTAAAAATTGTAAATTGTTTCTATTACATTTTCTTTAAAGAAGTAGTAGAAATCATGCATACTCTTTGTTGCTTTTGAATTAACTTTCGAACAGCGGTCCATTTTTCTTTTCAGTAAGCCACTAAGTGCTACACTTTTTGCAAAATATAAATTGTCTATCCTTACACCAAACACACAAAGCTTGTTTGCTTTTTCATGAAATAATTCAAAAATGCCACTGGCACATTATAAATTGTTAGTGGTTTGTTGCAGGATCATATTTTTCAATCAAAATGATTGCAAAAATCCATTACCTAGCTGAAGGGCTTCAGAAACATCAATCCATCAATTTAAAATGTTAAATGTATCACTTATTGTTTACCTTCGCACTCATATATAAAACTAAACTCCCATTAATTTGACTGATTTTGTATTTATCCCATGATCTAGGCCACTGATTTTGAAATTCTATAGGTCCAGTGAACTTGTCTGGTCTGATAAAGAAGTATAATTTCATAAAAAGAGGTAAAAAAAAATCAAAATTTAAAATCATATATGAAATAGATAAATGTTCTTACCCTGATCATATACATTGGTTGGTACATGAACGGTGCTGTAATTGGGGTTGACCTTGACCTCATTAAAAAGGTTATCACTGGTTAAGTTGATCATGGCGTATATATCTGAGGTCATGGCCGTGGGGGTATCCTTCAGGTCCTCTGGGCTCAGAACTTTTTTGTTGTTCACATACTCCAACTGAAACCGATAAGAACAGCAATAAGTGAAGAATTTATCATATTTATAGAACTGAAACCATTTACCAGTAATTGAATATCAATGAATATCCCAATGGCATGTAAAAGAACTTTATTCGGTAATAACCCAATATTTGCCCCCCAAATCAAACTTTGATTGAGATATATTTAATTAAGTTCCTAAACAGGGGAGTATATGCTGACTTCAAAGCACTGAATATTTTCATAAGTATTGACGCCATATGTACGTAATGACGTCACAAACATGACGTAAAGAACTTTATTCGGTAATAACCAATATTTGCCCCCCAAATCAAACTTTGATGGAGATATTTTTGATTAAGTTCTTAAACAGGGGAGTATATGCTGACTTCAAAGCACTGAATATTTTCGTAAGAAATGACGCCATATGTACATAATGACGTCACAAACATGACGTAAATTTCAGTTTTTTATGAATTTTACGGAAAAATGTACATATTTCGTCGATATTTTTAGTAAAAGTCACGGAGCGCATGTGTGTTCAGGATCAATATTTTGATATAACGTGTAGAATGATAATATCAATGAAATATGTCAATATTGTTCCTGAACAAACTTGCGCTCTATAAATTTAAAGGTAAAATTGTTGAAATTTTGTCCAATTTGTCCTCTTTCTGAAAAAGGATATAAAATCGGACTAGTTTGTGACGTCATAAATGCAAAAATTGTGAATACACTGCTTTGACACTATAATATTTTCTGTTAATTTATATTTCTCATACAATTTATTGAATTCAGCACATTTCAGGACGTTTTCAAAATATGACTTTTGTGGGGGCAAATATATGCAATATACCGCATATAGTTCTTTCAGTTTTTTTATGAATTTTACAGAAAAATGTACATATTTCGTCAATATTTTGAGTAAAAGTCACCGAGCGCATGTGTATTCAGGATCAATATTTTGATATAATGTGTAGAATGATAATATCAATGAAATATGTCAATATTGTTCCTGAACAAACTTGCGCTCTATAAATTCTAAAGCTAAAATTGTTGAAATTTTGTCCATTTTGTCCTCTTTCTGAAAAAGGATATAAAATCGGACTAGTTTGTGACGTCATAAAAAGAAAAATTGTGAATACACTGCTTTGACACTATGATATTTTCTGTTAATTCATATTTCTCATACAATTTATTGAATTCAGCACATTTCAGGAAGTTTTCAAAATTTGACTTTTGTGGGGGCAAATATATGCAATATACCGCATATGGTTCTTTATCCGAAATCTTGAAATAAAAAAAAATCATACAAGTCTTGCCAATTACTTCAATGTGGTGTGTATGTTGCTCTTAGAAATTGATGAGGATTGTCTCTATGTATTCATTTCATTAATGTTTACCATGAAATAGCACTTATAATTGTCTGAACCAATATCCAAACTATACATCAAGTCATATATCCTTTTAATTTAGACCCCTGACTTTGAGGACAATAAGTTGAACTTTTAAGATCAGAAATACATGTCTTTTTTTTAAAATGGTTCCCAAATGACGTACATCTTCAATTGTCATTGAGCATCTGTGATGAAATTAAAGGTGAGGATGCTTTCTTACTTTAAAGTCCTCTGTTGATTTTGAGGCCAAAATTAATAACAAAGGGGAAAAAATCCCACTCGGTAAGGATAATCACTATGATCAAACTAACCCTGTTTAAATCTGATGTATTACCTGTGCTCCTCCTACATTAAGAAGCTGCATTTTACAGCTAGGACCCTTCATACAAAAACTATAATTATGCTGATACAGATATGATGCAACACCCACAGATAAATGATAATTTACGAGTGATCACTTCACCAAGCTCTGCCCGCTCCCTATCACATATGCAGCTCCTCACGTCATTGATTTTGTCATTTGAGGAAACCTAATGTCTGGCACAAATCATGGGAAAATGCCATATTGTGGTAATTTTGGTCTGTAAATCTGCATCTGATAGGTTTAATAGGGATAGCTTTTAAACAAATAGTGTTAAGGGATCGGAGGGAATGACCAAGCATTGATATGGACATCAAATCCATTAGTCCGAGGGAACAAACTTTCTGCTGTACCGAAATGAGAAAATGTCACCCATTGTGAATGTGTTTTCCCTGATTCACTTAATTCTTGATGGAGGCAGGAATATGTAATTACTCTGGGCTTTATCTATTGTATTATAGCACTCAGAATCATCACTCTAATACTTTTAATTAAAAAGTTCTCATTCACTCATTTGTTTCCTGGACCATGCATTGTTTAAAGTTCTCTTCAGATTAGAAAAGTGTAATAATCATACCTGCAAATTTTTCCTGTACTCATGTTCCTTCTTGGCATTTTCTGCTGCTATTACCAGTCTCTTTTTTATTAATAAAAAAAAACAAAATCAATTTTAAAGTAATAATTTTTTTTTTCAAATGTTTCATTTTGTAATTTAATCAGATATACATATTCAAATTTTATTTTTGAAATATATTTAGAGAAAAAAAACTTATGATATTGTCTCAATTGAGAGGAAATGATCCAATCACTAATTATACTATCTACCTCTATGGCCTTGACCTTTGTCTCCAGAAGCTCCTCGATCTCTCGGGCGAATTTGTCCACCAGGTCCTGAGGATTCAATTTCTTCGGCACAGTCAGATGTTTACGGGCCTTAAAAAAATAAATATTTTTATCATCATAATTAAAGTATGACCCATTTTGATATCACGAATATTAATTAAATGCCCTGCAAGTGCAACATCATATATTTTACATGCTTAATATTTAAATAATGTTTGTCAATGATTGGATATGCCAGAACATGCTCTACCTATGAATAATTTTTAAAATGAGGTAAGTTATCAACAAACAAGTTGCTGAAACAAAAATATCGGTCAGCAGTCTCATTTCGTATTTTAATTCTTTTGTTGACATAATGACCTTGTCAGCAAATACAATTTATTGAATGCTGACTGATCGATGTTTTTCATACTAATTGTTAGGCCATTATACAGTAATACTTGTTTAGTGCGAACATGGAAATTGCGAATTCACGGATATAGCAAAGTTAATTTAGATCCCTGGATATATAAATTTTATGAATTCCTAATTCCTTATATGGATATAATGAATTATGGATCTAGCAAAGTAATTTCACAAGTCCCAGTGACTTCGTTATAACCGAGTTTTACTGTATACACACTGAATTGTCAACAGATTTTTTCTGTTATTTCCCAATCATGGCAATTTTTTTAAGGTGCGGAAGGCAGATGTGACCAATCTGGGATGTTCACTCCTCCATGGCACCTGATCCCACCTCTGATGTTTTTGAGGTCTGTGTTTGCTCCGCTCCTATTCTGTATTGTTTAATGGACTTTTGAGCTTGAATAATATATATCTCCATATATTTCATATATAAATAAAAAATATTATAAATAAAAGCATTGAATTTTTATTTTTTAAGGTGTGATCTCATAACAGAATGCTGTATGAAAATATAATGCCTTAAGTATGGTCTGGGGCACCTTTTTTCTATGATGAATTATAATAATTTATCTACAAACACTCTGTTTATTTTCAAATAACATTGAAGAAAAATGACACCTTCAGAGTAGATATCAACATTTCTCTACTCCTGATAGCCTTCATTATAAAATGATCTGAATTTTAGTGCTACAGTAATAGTTGTTTTCCTATCAAATTTCACATTTCATTTTTGTTTTAATGAGGTTGTCACGGTTCTCAAATTCATAAAAAACAAATGCTGACAGTGTCATCAATCTCGTGACAATCCTTAGAGCATTGAAGAGTGAGCTCATTTAAATGTCACCAGTATCACAGACAGCAATAGACTCCAATATTGTGATCATGCAATTTCCAATACAAATGTCAGGCCTTATGCTGCGTATCCTACACCACTACTTTCAAAAACCAATATACCACAAAATCAACACATTTAACACAAGATAGTTTCAGTTTAAACTGCAACATTTATATAACAGAGAGCATACTTCAAAATTATTTGTCAATGATAAAATAGCAACATAAATATCTCAATGTGGTCTTGAAATCTTGAAAAAGGGGGGGGGGGGGCAGTTTTGGGTCATGGTAGGGACCAACAGCCATACCAAAAAAATTGATGTTAAATCTTATGTACATTTTGGACACACAAGGGTTGCCCCCCCCCCCCCCCCCCCTCAAATCACCAGTGCAATGAGCATTATGTCTTAAATACAAGAATATGAAATATATCTTTCATCAATAATTTTTAAACTTATTGGGAGAAACTAACATTGGAACCGATTACAATTTATGCCTGTTTTTAGTTTCTATGGCAATTAATAGTGAAAATGATTGGCCATCCAATTGCTTTTCAGTACCTATAATATTAGTACATGTATCTTTTGGCTATGCAGATATTAATTGTTTTGCCCATAGATATGCATGCACTCCTCTGCATGAAGAGATGGGAAAGAGAGGAATTGTAAGCAAGACTAATTGCATGTTGTTTTATGTCCCATTCAGGAAATATTTAGTCATATAGAGATGTCACAATATACCAGTGAAGGGCCTTTACTTATCACTCAGACTCACTTGAGCTGTGGGTTTTTTTTATATTTAGTGCCAATTGACAAGAGGCAATGTTTTTTTTTAGGTCTGATCTGAAAGACCTGCAACTTTTACTTCAAACTCCCAAGCACTTGGTGAATTAACATGATTACAAGGAAAAGTTGCTACGGTACTTTTTTTCATCAACTTAGGTCAGATGCACCCAAGGTTTGAACTTTAAACCCATGACCTTCCAATGATTTTAGCTCTCTACTGAGCTACTGTGCCGGTATTTTTGCAGGAGAAGCAGCACTGTACAGTACTAACTTGTACTTAAAGACATTAAGCACTGAACTTCATAATAAATTGATTTTTACATTAATTTGAACTATGAAACACAGCCATTAGCCTAGTGTTTAATGCATTACAGAATTGCTACCATGGTTTTACTGGATCTATCAATTTGCTACGTTCCATGCACGACTGATATTTTGAAATCATGATACCTGTTAACCAAATTTCTTTCTCTCCTACAATGAACTTTACGTACAAACATATGACAAAAGTCCATTTCATTTTTTGCTTACTAATGTTTACTGTTTGGATTTCAGGTTACAACAAAATTTTCCTTTATGTTAATTATTGTTGAGATTCAAAATCATACAGTAATTCTTAGTGCCTATAAATTAAAAAAAAATGTTTGTTTTCCATTTTCAGTGTATTAATAATTCATCTTTGAGAGCTGTTCATTGAAGAAAGAATTTAATAGCTTAATAGTATTTTAATTAAAGCCATATTCCTTTACCAATCAATCCCTTTTTAAATTGCTAGACAGTGCAACCAAACTTGTCAATTCCATGTGGACAAAATACAGGCATTAGATAAAATCGCAATACGCAAATGTACTTTTTAAATTCTCTATAATGGAGAAAGAGACCACTTGATTCTAGTAAACAAATACTACCCTAGGGAAACTATTAAGCTTGGTACAAAAAAGACTACGGGGAAATCGGCAAATAACACAGAAACCTGAGAATTTTATTGATTAAATTCACTATATTTCCAAGGGCTAAGATTTCTGCATTTATTCTGCTGTTATCGATAATGTATGAATTCTAATACAATAAGCTAATTTTCTGATGGATTAATACATGTTAGTGGAATTACATAGACAACACGTTTCAGTCTTTTTCTTACAAAAGAAAAAAATCCTTTTTCCGGTATCATCACTGGTACAGACGGATGTCGGATTTATAATTATCAAGAATTAATTCACTTTTATCGAAGATATTGAACCATTTTATCCTTCTTTCTGTGTTGTGCTAAAAGAGTTATCGGTAGAATCTCATTATTTCTATTTGGAGGATCTTGGAAGACGTACAGGGAATTCTTTCCGTCGCTCATAAAAAAAGTACTTCTTTAGCAGTTGCAAGTCTTTGAAAGATAGGAGAGTCCTTTGAGCTTAAAATTAACATAGCATGCACTTGAGCTGTCTCTTAAATTAACTATGCAGTACGTCATCTTGTCGAGACAAAATCAAGTTAATTAAAACAGATTCCTATCAGATGCATTTTCTAATTGTGCTACAATGTGTTAGCTACTCAATCTCAAACTATATACACCATTATCACCCATGTTATTTTTTGCCCTTTCTCACTTGCTTACAATTTTACCCCCATTTTAAACTCGCCCCCTCTCAATTCAGTTTTTTTTTTTTAAAGATTTTCACTTCCTTATTTTATTTGTTATTTCACCACTTTATTTTTGCGAGGTAGATATTTACTCTTTTTTAGCAAGACAAAATTTTCACAAAATGTGGTCCATAAAATCTTTAGGAATACAAATATACACGAGAATGACATTTTTGTGAGCACATTGTCTCATTTGCATAATTCTGCAAAAATAAAGTTCTGGCAAATTAAAATCTCATTTTCAAATAAACTGATTTAATTTTCTACTGTGCATTCGATTTTCTTATGAGATGAATGGTTTTAAACATGTAACTTGATGTAACTTAACTTCAGCAGTTGTCTTTATGTACTAAATTCCTATAATCAAAAAATTCAAATTGAGCAATTAACTCGTGAGTCTTAATGTAATTTCTGAAGGCCAATCCATAATCCATACCGTATTTTGAAACTGAAATCCATGTCTTGACAAATACACAATTTCCTTCATTATAAACAGCTTCATCAACTAAATGAAGTTTGTGGGTTGTGAAATCAATATATTCCTTAAAGTATTATGCCAAATTGAAGTGTCTAAATGTGAAAATTAATAATTTTGACCTTTATTAATGACTTTCAGCTCATGACTCTTATAGTCCACAGAAATTTTTCTTCTCATAACAAACAAGTAGGTACAATTGTAAATAAATCCTGCAGATGAAAACTCTATATCCAAGAGTTATATCGCATGCTGATATGCTTAGTCTTGATCTTTTAAATTTGACTAAAGCGACCACAAATTTAAGGGGTTCTATCTCTGCATGTCCAACTTAAATTCCACTCATAAAATTTGATAATTTGTATAGGCCTAAATTTGCAAGTTAAATTAAAGCTTAACTGATCACTTCATCATATTTGATTTCATTAATCTTCATTTTAGACCAGCTGACCTTAGAACAACCCATATCCAGAGTTATTACAATGAATAAAAGTGTTTTATGGAAGGCAGACAGACAAAAAGTAACACAGAAGCTGTAGAATTATGTAGGGATATGATAATGAGAAATAAAGAAGTGTAGAAAACCCTAAACTCACCATGTCAGAGTAAGTGTTGTAGTTAGTCAGGTTCAGGGTCAGCATTTTGACTTCCTCTCCAAACTCAGTCACTTTATCTCTCATGCTACAACAGAAAACAACTTCATTTGTAATCTTATCATTGTTGTAAAAATGGTAAAAACACATTGCAAGAATGGTTACAAAGACAATGGAAACTGATAATATCAAAAATATTTTAATGAAAATTACACAATATTGCATATGAACTTCAGTATCTCGAACACTAATATCTTGATCTAATACTATGATGGATAAGATGTAGTGATTTAGAAGTCCCAACCTGTATTTTACCCTGGATATCTCAAAAGTTTCTTTTGGTCCCACTGAGTTGGAGATAACTCGGTGTTTGACTGCACTTATATGCCAACTGTACATTAATGCCCTGTTCACACGGAGAGTTTACTTCGCAGTAAATTAATGCGAAGTAAACTAATGCAAATCAAACTAATGCGAATTAAATTGCGTTCACACGACAGCTAATGCGAAGTAAACTAATGCGAATTAAAATTTTACTTCTGCAGCCCAGCGTCAGCACGGCTATTATGACGTCATTTGCAAAGCATGTCACCTTATGCAGAAGCAGATCCATTTGACATAATGGAAAAGTGTCATACACATCTTAATGATTAACAAAATTTTCCTTAGTTTTTCACTCAAAAATAGCATAAGTACCTATAGCTGACCACCGACAAGTGGAATTTGACTAAATTTTGCCATTACGCATGCGTCAGAATTTAATTCGAATTAGCTTCGCTTAGCGTTCACACGGAGCTAATGCGAAGTAATTTAATGCGTAGTAAACTAATTCCAATTAAACTAATTCGCATTAAATTCTCCGTGTGAATGCTAAGCGAAGCTAATTCGCAGTAACTTTAAGTTTAATTCAAATTAAACACTCTGTGTGAACAGGGCATAAATTTAATTATTTTCAGGTTGCAAATTTAGGGATTTTGTCCTCAAAATTGGCATTTAATTTTGGCAAAAAATATTTTTAAAATTATTGCCCTGGCCGTCGGTCTGTCTAGCTGTCTGTCATTCTGTTTGTCTGCTAAAACTTTAACCTTACCCATAACTTTTGAATGGTCAGGACTAAGGCTTTTATATTTCACAAGGTGTATTCCTTGTGACAAGACCTCTCTTGGAGTACCACCAATTTTGACCTCTTGACCTTGGAGTTTGACTCACTTTGAACATAAAAATATCAAACTTTAACCATGGCCTTAACTTTTGAACAGTTGGAGCTAGGGCTTTTATACTTTACATAGGTATTCATTGTCACGAGACCTTTTGACCTTGACCTTAGAGTTTGATCCACTATTTAAAATCTTTAACCTTGGCTATAACTTTTTCACAGTAGGTACTAGGGCTTTCATATGTCACAGGCATATTTCTTGTAAGACCTTCTCTGGATACCAACAATTTTGATCTTTTGACCTTGACTTTGGATTTTGACTTGCATTTGAAAAACTTCAATCTTTGCCATAAGCTGCCAAATGGAGGCATCAAGTGTTTCACAAACACAGCTTATTTTTCTTTCATGCATGTGTGCATGTCAGTTCCAGGAGGTTCCACTTTTTCTAGAAGAAAGTGTCATAAAATAAGACCAAGGTTACAACAAAAGAAAGACTGCTTTTATGCCATCATTTTAAATATTTGAAAACTGAGACAATTCCCAATACAAATGGCAGACACTGCAGAGCTCTCTGACAGTCTGCAGCAGACCAGTTTTAGCATCAAAACAACAATTAAATCGTAATCTTTATGCTCTGTTTGAAATGGATTGTCATTTTTGTAGTCTGTGGTGCCATTTCTCCTGATCTGAGCATCTCCTGGGGGTCATGTGAAAAGGGCTTCTACAGATAATTGGATGATTTCATTTACTCCTGCATTTTTACAAAGTACAGGGAATCAAATAAAACTATTGAATTACAACTGTCAATCATCCCACTGACATGAATATAAATTTCAAAAACCACACTGTATGAGGCAGGAAAGAAGTTTGATTATACACACTGTATGAGGCAGGAAAGAAGTTTGATTATACACTAGTTAATCAGTTTACAGTATACCATATAAGCCAAAATTTTAGTAAGGACCAAATAATGGCATTATTAGAGAGGGTGTTGAGTTTTACTAAAAATGAATAAATGTTCTATTTACTGTAATGTATTAAATTCATTTAAAATGATGTTAGCTAGAAATACTTCTATTCTTATTTTTCTCTTTTAATTTTAGATGAGTTGATTTCTTGATAATTCAACCACGATGTAAATTTTGCCAAGCGAAAGGTCATGAGGTAAGGTGGCGTAATATATGCATGTAAATCTTGTGCGTCTGTCTTTGTGTCTGATATCAGTGGGTGGGGACTAATGAAATTTACATGGGAGGTCTCGTGTAATTAAATCTATTAGACAACATAATTAAAATCTAAATTTACAATTTCCTTTCACAATGAAATGTAAGGAACCGCTGTCTAGTGTGTTGGGTATGCTTATAGGGACATCAACAATACTTGGAAAAGTGGGATAATATATGTAACGGATCTGAGCTGCTTGGATCTCTGCACGCACAAGTACTTTAAATACCTACGCGGGAATAACCCATGTAGTACTCTGATGATTAACGAGAATAACCCATAAATAAAGATCTCCTATAATAACACAAGAATTACCTGTGTTTGCACTCGTAAATAAAACTATGGGGAAGTTAAATGAAAAGCCTTATTTAAAGTCTACAAATTTATTCAATAAATAAAAGTCACAATATGTATTAATTAATATACAATTACAATAAAATTCACTGGAAATCGGGAATCACCCAAATTCGCAGCGAAGTGCTATAATACTAACACAACCTTCGTATTACGTTAATACGAAGGGGGGGGGGGGGGGCGCACAAAACGAGAATGACCCGATTAGTGTATATAAAATCCTAGAAATACCTTAGAATAACCAAAGTATTTCTGAACGAATCTACACAATGTAACAAATTATTTAAAGCAAGAAATTTATCTCTATAATTTCTATATCAAATCCTAGCCTTAATTCCTGCTTGAATATTCCTATTAACGCAACTGAATTATCACTTTAAATTGATTGAATTCCTAAAATCTATCAAAGATAAACAATTATTTACACGGAAAGACTTCAAGACTCACTTTCAGTCAAACCGTAACAAAATTATATAATCGTTTAATATCGAGATTTACCCAATATAAACATCCTAAGAGTAATACTAGTAATTAATAGTGATACGAGATTAACCCGTAATCACTATAAGAAAAATTGATGAATAAATTCAAAAATTACTTAATTCTTACTGAAAAATTCTAAGAATCTAATAAAACACCCTCTAAGGCCATGCAAAATTAATTCCTTGGTTCTCAGGCCTTTTTTTCAAGAAATATGATGAGGGAGGGAGGCATTTTTTTTTCTTTTTTATTGCCCCCAAAACATGATGAGGCAGCTTTTTACATTGTACAAAACCCCAAAAAATGATGAGGGAGGTGATTTATTTTTTTTATTTTATTGATTTAGCAATAAAAAGGGTCAATGAGGCACCCTTGGAAGAGATGAGGGAGGGCCTGAGAACCAAGAAATTAATTTTTTTTGGCCTAACCTCAAAATCCTAACACCGAGTCCCACCGGCAGTTCTTATCCCCTGCTTTTATAGCTCTGGAGAGTCTCCCCGGAAACCCACGCGCTTCCCTAGGGACGACCGGCAGATCTCCGGTACCACCGGCAGCCACCGGCAATAATCATTGTCAAATAATGTTTAATAATAACAATAGATAATCAATATAAAAATATGACAATCATAATGTAAAACATTTATACAATATGACAATATTCCCTAAGTATTAGATTTCGATAAAAATGCTTAGTACAGAGAAATTACATTTAAAATCGGGCGTGATATTCCACAAAATAATCATCATGATGGCGGTTTCTATAAATAAAGTTACAGAGTTAGAAACGATATTTACAACAAATCTAGCGTATTACAATACTGAAATTAATCCAGGATAATACAAGAGGCCCATGGGCCTTATAGGTCACCTGAGCATTATGCAACAACTTTCCAGTGATTGAATTTGATTTATGTTTTAATCCAGATGCTATGGCATTCACAATTTTGAAATAGGCACCATTGATCATCATAACAATACACTTAGCAGTTGCTTAGTTTGTTTACTTAATACCCATAGGCAGGGTAGGGGAACAAAAAATGCATTTCAAGTAATCAGTAATATTCAGCATGATCAGTAATGCCCCAATCACACATGAACCCCTGACCCTTAGGCCTAGATCCACACATTGCACAATTTTTGAAAAGGCACCCTTGCTTTTCAAAAATAGTTGATAAATACCAAGGAGCAGATTTCAAACAATTCATCCAGTTTCAGTATATAAGTACAGCCCCCCCCTCCTTTATGGTACCCCTGACCCTGGGGCCTTGAAATTCACAATTTGGGAAGATTATGACCCTTACTCATCATAACTACATAGGTAGTTCATCTGCTTAATACCAAGGAGCAGAGAAGAAAACTTTCAAAGATTTAGTGTATTTTCATTGTATAATCAATAAAGCCCCACCCTATCACTAGAATCCCTGACCCTGGGGCCATAAAATTCACAATTTTGGAAGAGGCACTCTTGCTCATCATAACTATGCACTTATTTAGTTTATTTAATACCCAGAAGCAGAGAAGAAGATTTTCAAAGAATTCATGTATTTTCACTATATAATCTAAAGAGCCCCCCCCCCCTTACACCAGAACCCCTGACCCTGGGGCCATCGAATTCACAACTTTGGTAGAAGCACTCTTGCTCATCATAACAAAGCACTTAGTTAGTTAATTCAATACCCAGGAGCAGAGAAGAAGACTTTCAAAGAATTCAAGTATTTTCACTATATAATCTATAGAGCCCCCCCCCCTCCCCTTACACCAGAACCCCTGATCCTGGGGCCATAAAATTCACAATTTTGGTAGAGGCACTCTTGCTCATCTTAACTATGCACTTATTTAGTTTATTTAATACCCAGGAACAGAGAAGAAGATTT